CAGTCTCGGATTCTGTCTGGTATTTAGGGCATTGGAAGGTGGGCGTTGGGTCGTTTGCTCAGTGCAGAGTAAGGGAGGCCTGGATTTTTTTATCGACTTTTTAATGTTTCTTGAGAAGAATAGATACTCTCTACACAGCTTATTGAGATAGTTGCTTTTCTCCATTGTTCTAGATATGTAGTTCTCATATCAATTATCCAAGATCACCGACGCAGACATTGCAGCCAAGACGATGCTCATTTCCCAGCGACAAATCAAAAAGGTCCACATGATGTATGCATGAACGTATGGCAGAAGTTTTCACACACGTAAGTTCCTATGAGAACATATAAAAAGCAAAATGACAATGAAAGGGAATCATATCCAAATGTCCTCCAGACGAAAGAGACCATACCCAAGAGCTCACACCCTCTCCCACGCCTGGCCCCCCATAGCAACCAACCGATTGAACAACTGATCCCTCGCCTTCATCCCAGTGACATGAAACGTCTGACCCTCCTCGGCCCCGCAGATCACCAACCCATCCACCGACTCTTTGCTCCCCGCCGCCAACTCCACGATCAATTTCCCCTTCCAACCCAGCCCTTCCGTCTTCCGGAGACCTCGGACTTGGGAGATGGGGATCTGGAACAAGACCGTTCCTTTCTTCTGGTGCTCGAGTCGGCGGTCCTCGAGGGTGGCGGAGTGGAGGGTGCTGAAGTAGAGGATCGGAGATGGATTCAAGTTCTCACCCTTTTCTTCTTCTCCTAGCTGAGCGGTTGAAGGCTCGTTTTCTGGTGGGATGAATGAGGAGGGCGGGGAAGGGGAGGAGTCGATGACCAATGTGCCGCGCTTACGCTCGAATTTCGCATCAAAGGTGTCGGGGCCGGAGGTCTCCCATTCCCAATTGCGGCGGTGCATGGTGAGGAGGAGGCGTCTGGTGCCCTGCGTGGCGCCTGCGATTGCCATGGCTTGGTTGAATGCGGAGTGGCCCTTTGTGGCGAGCGTGATGGTTGTGCGGAGGATGCGGAGGAGGCGGGGGAGGAATCTCCTGCGCTTGGAGGTGGAGGGCTCGGAGGTAGATCTGGATGTAGTGGTGGTAGCGGTGGCGGTTGTGGTGAGGCTGGTTGAGCTAGCTGCTGCAGCAGCAGTGGCTGTGATTTTGAGCTTGTCTTTGTAGGTTATCCATGATGGTATGGGATTGTTGGAGTGGGGTTGTAGGGAGGACGGTGGGGAGGGGAGCGGGGTGTTGTTGGTTTCGCAGAGTCGGAGGAGGGTAAGTGTTAGTTGAGCGTTGGTGGGGATGTTCTTCAGAATGGTTCTGAATGGATAGTGTCTGGGTTAGCATGTCCGATCATAAATATTAAATGTTTTCCACGGCATAGTGTACGCACTCTCGTGGATCCAGGGATTTCTTCCAGTCGGGGAATTTCTCATTAAGGTAGTTCATAGAGTACTGGTGCATGGGACCGCCAAAGAAGATAAAACCGAGGGTGAAGCTGTTGGCTCTGACAATGAAGTCATTTGATACGATGGAGGTGAGCAGACAGACCAGGAGAAGAACACCAACTAGCTGAATCTGCGCCGTCACAGAGGTGAAGGGCGGCGTCGGAGAAAGGACGCTGCGTGATGGTTAGCTTGAACGTACCCATATTGCCAGCGTGCAGACCTCGTACTTGGAGAACATCTCGTAAATGTCGGTGCCGTCACTGATTACACGCATCGCTTGGGTGGTGGCATTGGCGACCGCCTTTCTCATGGACCTTTTGGTATCGTCCCCCGTCACCGCAGCATCTGGGATGGTATTGACATCTGTGGTCGAGTCTGAAGCAAGCGTCTCTTCTAGACTGTCACCAGTAATTTCCTGGCCATGTCTGCTCGTCGCCGCTTTCACTGCAATTTTAGCAATGCTGTTCATGAGACTATTGGCTTCTTGCTCCGCAGCTTCGCCCTTGTGCTTGCTGGGTTGGTCTGTGGCCTGCTGTGGCTGAGTCTTGGGCCCGTTGTCTTCGGGAGTAAGACTAGGAAACAACAAGGGCCGTAGTGACGGAAACAGAATCAAAGCAGCAAGAAAGAGAGAAATGGTGGGAACGAGAATACCCCGAAACCATGCGACGAAGTAGGTCTTGAATCTGTCAGTAGTCTATAGGGCGTTGATTCAAGCATCGACAACGTACTGCACAAAAGGCTGAGGTACGTCGGGGCTCATTCCACGACCGCAACCTGACGACATGAGTATACAACGTGATTACCCCTACAATAACAGAGACATAGAGCCTCTCCAGTGTAATTCGCACTTTCTCTGGCGGAAATTGTTCATCTTGGACGGGATTGAGGTCGAGGTCACCCGCACGAGGTTCAGACGTGGCTTGCACATTATATATTTGCTTGAAGTCATGAGTTGGGCACTGCACGATCCATGGATGTGAGTAAGCGTACCTTATTGAAGCGTCGGATCAATAACCACAGATCTTCATCTGGAACGCCAGGTACAAGGTCATCCTGGTTTGGTTTCGCAGAGGCTTCGGGCTGTACGCCTGCCATGTCACTGCGGCCGCCGGTATTGGATTCCCGACACTTGTATCGTCACCGAGGGATTTTCTTCAGGCTCTGTCTTCTTGCCGTCTTTTTGGGTCCTTAGAATTGCACCTCAGTCGATATACGGTGGAATACGTTGGAATCATGTTGGCGCGCGGTCCAGGCATTCATAAAGCCACCGGCAATCAATCAGGCGGGGGTGGATATCGTTGACATCATTGGCTGAACCAGACGACCTGGGCATGCAGTAGCAGGAACGGGATTTGGCAAGATTGCCTATCATGGTCGGAAAAGACCATGGTGGAGTAGTTGAGGCCGATGTAAGGAGGCCTGGCTATTTCTGTCTTTGCCACAGTTTCATAATAAGTACCCTCCCAATCAATTCTTCGCTGCTTCTTAGCGTCATCGTCTGGGATACCAGCTGCCTTACTGACGTATATCAGCAAATTGGCTCCGAGTCCATTGAAACTCAGTCGCATAGAGCTCTAGTATGAATGCATGATGTTGGTCTCGCTGAAGATCCAGAATGGAGACTGCAATTGTTGACCTCAGGTGGGAATAGAGCGAGCTAAGCTGGAGCCTAGGATGAAGGTGACTTCCAAATTGGGAAATGAACTCGGACCTGGGATCACTTCCCAAAATGGTTAGCGTCTGGGGTCTTCCCTGTGGCTGCCGAACGAATCCCCATCAACAATGCTTGATTCGATCCTCAACTCCATCCTTCATCTTGCGCCTGATAAGATTTACTCATAGGGTGCTATGCGCCACCTGCTATTCTCGCTGCCAGGGCTTGCCTCAGTGAGGAGCTACACCGCCGTCTTTGCGTGGCGGCCTCGATCTACCCGTTCGCTCTGCAGAAGCGCGCAACTCGCGTCATCGACGTATAGCAACTATGCCGTTGATATCCCGGTTGGGAATAATGGGCAGATTACATTACAGTAAGGTCAACACCAACCATGTCACAAACAAACATCCCCAGAAAGCTGACCTTGCGACACAGAATAACTCATCCAGACGAATTGCCGCTTCAGAACGGGAATGTGATCGTCCATCTACCTCCAGGACCGTTATTCACGCAACCTGGAATTGCTGAACGCGAGACATCTGAAACTTCTAAGCAACGTGACCATGGCGCAGTCTCCCCTGGGACAAGCGCTATCGGCTTGTCGCTGGCGCAAGATCTAGCGTCTAGCACTCTCTCGACTATAGTAACCATTAATTATCGGCTGGGCTATTCTCCATTTCCATCTCAAGAAGCACAAAGGCCCGTATCAAATTCTGTGGCAGATGCAACAACTAGCGCGGGACCAGCATCGCCAGAAAAGGTTATTCATCAATATCCAACCCCAGTACATGACACCCTCGCAGGCTTCGATTGGATCCACCAATACCTACGGCCGAAGCGCCTCGGGGTCATCGGCACGCACATCGGCGGCTCGTTAGCCATAATGCTTTCCCTTACAGAAGCACAAGCCGTCCACGCTGTCGCAGCACTCGAACCAGTCTGCGACTGGACTGGCCTCGACGAGCATTGTCTACTTACTATGCCTGATGCCACAGAGTCGAGTCCGGCAACGATGTCGACGGCAGCCCCAGCAGCCGACGCCATAACTCAGAAGAAGCGAACCGCAGCGACCAAAACGAGTACGCCACCCACCGCCCCGCACGACTTGATCCCCCTTCTCAAAGCTCGACGATCATACTTCACAGCCCCAGAACGATACTTCGATGCTTTCGCCTCTCCTATTCTCTTCCTCCGTTCCGCGGGGAAAGACGTTCCCCGCACATTCCCCGAGTATCTGACAGGACCGGAGTACCCGATTCCCGTTCTGCAGCCGAAGACATCGCAGGAGATCTTTGAGGAAAGCATCTACAAATATTACCCCTCGTTGTCGGACAGCAGTATGTCGGCATTATCAGCACACTCTGAGAGTCCAGCCACATCACCCCCACTGTCGCCCATGCTGGCATACCTCAGCGAGAAGGCCGCCGCTGCCGCTGCCGCTGCCATCGCTGAAGAAGAATATATGGACGACGAGGAAACAAATCAGACCGCCATCCGTCGCAGAAAGTCGGTCTCGCGATGGCCGCCGTACGGACTCGATTACGGAATTAGCGGTCCGGCGGTGTTGAACCACCCAAACCGAGGAGTCAAGCGCTTGGAAGTGACGCTACCGTGGGTAAGGGTATTTGCTCGCGGTGAAGCCCTCGAGAAGACGGAGCCAGGAGCCCCGGCCCCGGTTCAGAAGCTCTTAGCGAAGCGAAAGTCCACTGCGGCTAGACGCAAAACCCACTCGGAGCGTGTCCTGGCGCAACAGGCGGTCGATATGGTGGACGTTATGCAGCGGGCTTGTTTTTGGGGTCGGGAGAAGGGGTTCGGGGAGAGCAGAGTTACGCTTGTGACGGTTGGGGCGGAAACCTGGCCTACCTCCGCGGAGAGATCTGCTGGGGAATGGCTGCGGGACGTGATGATGGAGATCGATAGTGCTGAATTATGATTGATCTCATGCTTACCCACCGATAATCAGAACGGCGCTGATATCTTGGGTCATTGATGGGCCTCATGAAATTGTGGACCCAAGGAAGTTCACTACTTATTATGTCACCTATTCATTGGTGAGATATTATTATCACGATATTCCCATGTCATAGCCGTTTTCCTCGCAGAATACAGTTCGAGTCAGAAGGAATCAATGCACACATTGATCCGACGCCGGGATGGCGCGGCAACGCTAATTTACACCAGTGGTACTTCGGCAGGCTTGAGTGCCTCGTTCTGGACCACCTCAACCCAGTATCCATCCGGGTCGAGGACGAAAGCCACATTCCGCATGCGACCATCAGTAAGACGCTTCTTCCAGTTGACATTCAGCTTCTCGAAGCGGTCACAGGCGGCATTCAAATCATCAACGGAGACACCTTGGAGCAAACCAGTATTAGCAAGAAATTCACCGGTAGAATTGAGGGACGAGGTTGCCTTACAGATGTGACCGAAGCCCTGGGGCTCGGTGTTACCGTTGTGGTAGACCTGGCCCTCCTGCTTCTCGGTGCCGTAGTTCCAGGTGAGCTCGAGGAGGCCCTCCCACTCGGCGACGGGGTTCTTGGCGTCCTTCTTGAGCTCCGGGTTGGCGGCGGGGTAGCCGAGGAAGTAGAGGTTGAAGCCGGCGGCCTCGTTCTCGCTGGTGCGCAGCAGGGTCAGGCCCAGCACCTCCTGGTACCACTTGAGGCTGGCCTCGGCGTCCTTGACGCGGAGCATGGTGTGGTTGAAGCGGTAGCTGGCCGGGTCGGTGGTGGTGCCGCGGTCCTCATCGTGGCGGCGGATGATCTCGACCCAGTACCCATCGGGGTCCTTGACGAAGGCGATGTGGCGCATGCGGCCCTCGGTCAGCTTCTTCTGGAACTCGTAGCCGGCCTCCTCCAGCCGCTGGCAGGCCTGCTCGATGTTGTCGACGGAGATGGCGATATGGCCAAAACCCCGGTGCGGCTCCGTGTTACCGTTCGCCACGCTGTAGTTGGGGTCCTCCTCCGTGCCGTGGTTGTGCGTCAGCTCCAGCACCCCGTTCCGGTCGGTGAAGTGGCTGCCCCCGCCCTGCAGCGACTGCGGCCCGTTGTACCCCAGGAAGTACAGCGAGAACTTGTTCTCCGGGAAATCGAGCCGTTGCAGCTGGTTGAGACCCAGGAACTGATAGAATTCCACTAGTTGAGGAAAAAAAAAACAGAGGAGCTCGTTAGCCAAGACCTGCTCCATGCACTTTGCTGCCAGGAAGGGGGGGCGATTCCACGTACGGGATTTCTTCGGGTCCTTGACCCGAATCATGGTGTCTATGGTTTTTTTCAACCGCCATGCCGTCGGTTAGTCTGTTGTTTCAATGTGTCTGTGAGAGACGGATCGCTCAGGCCATTACTAACGGTGAAGCTTATACTTGGAGGTATCGGTGGCCATGGTTGCGAGTGATCGACCGGTTCCTGCAATGATCCCGGACCGGTTAGCATGATTAGCTTGGGGGAGGTGGGGTTAACTGCCAGTCCAGATACAGTCCAGCTTTAAGCTTCGGAGATGGATGGAGAAGATCCGTACCAGGCACAAGGGGGAATTTAGGAATGAGGACCCGGGAGAAAGAGGAGCGGAAGAATGGAAGGGAGAACATGAATGGAGGGGAGGAAGTTCAAGAAGAGGGGTAGACAAGAAGAACTAACGAACCCATTAAATAAACGTTCAAGTAATGAGGAGAAAAAAAGGTGGGGTCCACGGTGTATGACGCTATCTTATTAATCCACTCCCATGATTAGTGAACCCAATTATGAAGCTATCGCGATTCCAATAAGTAATCATGAAAATGAGTAGATGGTCTGATCAAGCTCTGGGTAGATATCTCTAGATTCAGAAGAGCTGTTTTAGCCAGTAGTTTGGAACTTGGTGAAAGTTGGGAGGTGTAGAACGTCAACAAAATACGAAGTACTCCGTAGGTGATTCTTAGATACTCTGAATGATGTTGGTCGTAGATCTCCAAATGAGAAGCGGGTCAAAGAGAAGAAAATGCTAAAATATTGTCATTCTTGCTAAACTTAACGCTTACAGCATCAATTGATCTCATTTGACTAATGCGATCATGATACTGTCCTATGGCTGTGAAGTATTCTTCAAGCTTCTCTGGATAACTGACAAGGCGGTGACCGAAGGCGGGAAGACACCCCCCACGTCACGGAGGATTCTGCCGGCCAAATGACCGTAACTGAGCGTCTTCTCTAGTCGGTCGGTCTGTCGGTCTGTCGGCTTCGACCTTCTCCACCATCACCTCCTCCTCCTCCTCCTCCTCAACATCTCTCCTTCATCTTAATCTCAAGCCATTGCGGCGCACCACTCTTTGCATTCCTCTGCCTATCTTGGCACGAAATCATCAGATACATCACAATAAGGTTTGTGGCTCCGCTCTGCTCTTCAATTCCCTTCTTCCGTCTCTCTAGGATCATCCTTTGCCAGATGATCATCGCATACGCGGCAGACGTTGCTTCTCATGCTTGTTGGCCACCTGAACAGCCACGCCTCTAAACTTTCTTCCTTTTTCTTTTTTTCCTTCTCGCTTGTCTTTGCCTTGCCTACTGCGATGCTGCTTCGTGTTCTCGCGTTTGCCTGTTATGCTGGCCATGCACCCGGGCCCGTCATTCCTCCCTGAGACATGCGCCCCCCCGCGGCTCACTTCCCCGGGTTCTGGAACGTCATTGCGCACCGACCGGCTGCTTATGACTACCATGATGTTCTATATGCAAAGAAAGTCTGGGCCTACGAGCTGTTTGCCTAGTGTCAGCCTTGAGCGAACCAGAGCATCTTGTATCCCTCGCATATCACTTGTACCACCCCCCAGAGCCTTGTCCTCCAAAACATCGAATCTATCTCTCCACAACCATAGCGCACTTGGTTTGCACAGCAACTTCGTCTCCTTCTGTTACATCCATCTCCAATAGCAACCCTGTTCCATCACTGCCCTAGAGAAATTATGGCTGAATTCAAGCAACCAGTCCGACCGGACTATCCTAGTCAGAAACCTAGCGCTCTCCCCGAGCCCCCGTACCGTCCATACTGGGAACGAAGCCCAGTTCAATACGCTCAGGATCTCCTTGGATACTCGGAGGACCCGATAGAATACGACCACAACGACCGCGACTACTGGGACAACTGCTTCTTCTTCCCGGAGGACTGTTCTTGGTCCCCGCCGAAAGACTGGGTCATCGAGGAACATATCAGCAGTAGCAGCAGCAACACCGCACCAGAAGCTTGCCACGAACCGTCCACGGACAACACAATCGCCATGATTCCCGGACTTCCGGATATCAAAATGCTAGATGCGGAGGCCCTGAGTGACCTGCTAGAAGACAACCTCTCACCTCCCGAAATCACATCGATAGTGTTCGTACATACATCCGTCCACTGCAAGAAACCTACCGCCAATAGACATCTGCTAACCACACATACTTAACAGAGTCTTTTCTACCAACGGCGCCATCTTCGCCTACGCCTCGACCCTGTCATCCCGCCAACTCCGCAATCTTAGCGCCACCTACGGCGCAGCCTATACCTGTTACGCAAAGAATGCCTCGACAGGCAACCTCACCGGCGTGAACCCCGCCAGCCATCCTTCGTCATACGTGACCACTCCCTCCGTATCTCTCGGCGACGTCGGATCAATTGTCTTTGAGCTCGACGACTCGGTTGCCGTCGTCACCCCAATAGCCGACAAGGTCCTCCTGGCCGCCATCGGACCCTCCAAATTGGGCAGCAACAGCGCCCAGGATGCATCCGCCAGCACCACAAACGGTCACACACACGCAACCCCGAACGGCTCCACGCACCACCACCACCACCATGCATCAGGCGCAAACACCCCCGACTCCGCCTCCAACAACACCCACAATGTCCGCACCTACGCCAGCGTCGTATCATCCAACACCGGGGGCGGCCGAAGTAACGGCGCCAGCGCTCCAGGTGGTGGTGGTGGCGGGGGCGGCGGTGACACAAGCGACTCGCAAACAGACTCGCACCTAGAGACCCAATACGAGATCGACCGCAGTAGCGACCTTGCCCGTTTGGCCACGCTGAACCTCTCCGCTGCGCCGGAGATCCTTCTCGCCCTAGAGTCCAAATCCGCCGCCTTGGGTCGGTTCCTAAGCCAAAAGCTAGAAGACCTAGAAAGTCCGGAGGACTTCTAGAGCCCTGTCACCGCTCCCATTTCCCCTACTTCCCTTCTGTCCTGCTGCTGCCGCTATACACCTAATGGTCTTTCAGATCACCCGTGTTTCAGAAGTCCAGCTGCTCGCTCAAACCTCTTCACCAAACTCTGAATTCACATCTGGTCTGGCAAGCTATCTACCTAACTCTTTGACCTGAATCTCCAGCCATCTATCTATTCTTCTTTCATACTCTCTGAGCGGGCTCATGATATCATCGTCGTCGTCCATCACCACCAACATCATCATCCCGTCTATCTGCTGGTACCGTCATCGACCGTTTGAACACAGATCGGGCTTTGCGTGACATATAGGTTCAAGCATATGTATTCTCATTCGCACTTTCCATTTGTTTCTTGTGCCCTCGAAGCGTCTTCCGTCCATAGCTATTACTACTGTTCAAATACCATCAAGTCCATGGATCAATTGATTACAACCCTTTTCACCTTTTTGTCCTGTTCACGACGAAGGGAATACTACAGTACATGGTACACAGAATCAGGGTGTCGCTCACATGATAATAGGCCAACACAATCCAGCTTTCATTCCAAACTAGCAACAATAGCACTAGCATCCAAGGTTCAATACATTAGAGAAACGTGTTTTAGAGCAGCGGCTTGTCGCTTGGTGATTATAATCAATACAATCAAGCTACGCCTCCTGGCAAATTGAAGGTAAATGAGGAGAAAATATGGGACTCGGAGGTCAGAGGCACATGATAACGAAAGAGGCCACAAGTGACTTGGTTCCTTTGCGAAACCAACAGAATTCACCGCTCAATCAGAGCGAAAACAGAAAGCAGTCGAATGTGCATCGATCCAAAAGGAAAATCCGACTAACTACATTCACAGACCGCTCAAGCGGTCTTCTCCACAGTAGGGGAAGGAGCTTGGGCACCAGCCGCAGGAGCAGTGGTGTTGACGGTGGGCAAAGTGCCGGTACCGCTGGTATCGGTGCGGGTGATACCGGCGGGCCCAGCGCTGGCGGGAGCCGCGCTGGCAGGGGTGATGGGAGTCTGGGCTTGAGTGGCGCCGCCGGCAGAAGCAGCCTCCTTCTCAGCGTAGGCCGGGGGCTGATTCGTGTCGATGGGGGCGGGGGTGGTCGGCGACGTGGTGGTGCTGCTGCTAGTGTGTGCCGGACCACGAGTAGCGTCCTTGATGATGGTCCACCATTTCTCGGCCTCGTTCGGGTTGGTGGCCTTGAAGCTCAACTCGGTGTTGGTGTGGAAGGCGTTTCCGACCTTGCCTCCAGAGACATCCTTGCCCTTGACGTTGAACTTGACGCCGTCGATGGCACCAATGACGCAGTCGGGAAGATAGAGGGAAAGCTCAGGATGAGGGTCCTTGCGAAGGTCATCGTTGTCCTTGAATTCGTGCAGGTACCGAGCGGGAGTTACGACGTAATAGCCGCTGCTGTAGCCCTTAAGCATGGCGCGGGATTTGCGCTCAAGGAGGCCCTCAATGAGAGGCTTGGTGGCACGGTGGTCCTGGTTGGGGAAAGTAATATTGGCGAGAGACCTCGGAGGGGCGTCAGGGTTGACGAGAATATGGTCATTTCGGGTCATGAAGTTGACCCATTCGAAATCAGGCGGAACGCGCTGTGCCGAGGCAAGTATGTCGCTGTACATGGTCCGGTGGCGGTCGAGCTGGGTAGTCATGTAGACGGTGAACTGCTCCATGGCGCTCTGAACGGTTTGCAGGACATGAGCCTCGAACTGCTGGAAGTTGTTCTGGACCGCAATAATATCTTGACGATTGTTATTCTCCTCAATGACCTGCTTGTTCAGGCGATGAACAACACCCCGACGCAAGATGTAAGGGTCGTGCGCTGTGTCGATCTTGTTACCGTGGGCCGCATCCAGCGTGGCCGTGTGCTGGGCGAGCAACTCGATATGCTTTTGAGTGACTCCCCGGGCCTTATCAACGGCCTTAGCACCCTTCGCAGCTCCTCCCTGGAGCTCTTTGGACTTGGCCTTGATTTCCTTGTGAAGGCGCTCCAGCGTCGGAAGTACGGACCCCTTCAGGTTCTTTTCCGAGTCGAGATACAAGTTTACCATACCCTGCAGATCTCTTAGCAGCTGTGATTGATGCGACAAGATTCCACGTTCTGGCAGCATACCTGAGTGTTGGACCTGACGTTCTCGAACCATGAAGCAACTCCGCCCACACTTTGAGAGAAGTGGTGCCCTTCCCGGAGCGGCTCATTGACAGTCTGCGCAATGATTACATCTCGATCAGCATCTGACGCCACACAATTTTCATGAATAGGTGAAGGTCCCAGCTTCGCGCACCTTTAAGACCTTCTCGAAATCCTTCGCTTGCGACTTCGAGATCTTGGCAGTTGTCGAAACATAGTCCTCCAGGTATCCACACATGTGCTTCCAAGCTCGAAGACGCTCAAGGAGAAGGTTGGTGGTCTGACGAGCAGAAATGGCAATTAGCACAGTCCGTAAGTTAGATGTCCTCGTGGTTTGCGATGGATAATGTCTTATCGCGGCATACCTCATTGCTATCGGAGTCGGGAATGGCCTCGTCGTCACTGCCCGAGGTGCGCCGGGTCATGGTGCTCCCAATGGTCGCTGTACGCTCAGGGAGCTTTTGCTCGATGGGACTGGCGGTAGCCGACATTGCTGCTGCGATTTAGGTTGAAGAATGGGTATGGTTCGCAAACACCTGGTAGTCGGAGCGGTCGAGTCGATCGAGGGCAAAGATGACAGATAAAGGGAAAAATGCCGCTGCTGCAGATGCGCAGGAGTGGAGGAGCCGGAAGCGCGATCGAGGACTAGTCGGATGATTAGGGGGGCTTGTCTTTGTCGAGTTCCACGCTGAAGCGGAGGTGGGGCTCCTCTGGTAAGGGACGGGAATAGGAACTGCGAATGTCAGTCACGGCTGTCGGATGACGACGACGGATGGAGAAAGAAAAGGGGGAACAGGACTGAAGGGGGAACAAAGATTCAAGTCAAATGACATACAATGCAGTCAGTCTCTCCCAATACGCAGAGATGGTTTAGAAGCAGACGATCGAGGATCAAGAGAATAGAAGAAGGGTTGGAGGCGAGTTTATGAGCAGCTCGTTGTTCGTCGAGGAGAGGAAAGGGGATCGACCGATGAAGTCACCGCCCATGATGGATGTCGTCGACCCCTCCTTTTCTTTTCCTTTTGACTTTTCTTTCTCGCTAAGCTTGGACTGAACTGTACCTCACTCAATCCGGACAGGCAGCTCAATTCCGTTAGGCCATCATCGAGATGCAGTTGAGAGAGCCCAGAGAGCCTAGAAATGCATCGGGAACTCTGCAAGCAAGCATGCCAATTGCAGCCATGGGGAAAAGTGCAAAGGAGATGCCCGATTCCGGCCCCACTATTTCCTCTCTCTCTCACACACCTTTCCAGATCGGGCCGGCAAAAACTGCCACCCGCACCGCCATCCCATCCCCAAAATGATATCATCCCTCGCATACAAAGAGCACTCTACACAAACAACTTGACAACTTACATATCAACCGGAATATTTTCCATAAATTTCATGATTCAATTCATACCGAGCCATCATGATGATGATGAAATATGTAGTCATGTAGTCTCATGGCGTCTTTCTCTTGTGTTTTTTTTTTGATGCTTTTAAATACATACATAATGCAGATATCATATGAACTGCTGCTGGTCATGACCGTAACTCGTAAATGTACCCGTCTTCCGAATGAAGATTTCAGAGAAGAGATCCAGAGGTAAAGAGGTAAAGAGAAGAGAAGCAAAGATAACGCCAGGTTATTGTCCGTAATGTCCCAATCCTTCTATTATTTATTTGCAAACGCCATTTATTCCATCTTCCTATCCTTGCGCGCCAATCCAACCATGCAACATGTGTTTGAGAAGTACCGTCGTGAGGTCGATGCTGTTGTCAAGAGACGGTATGTGCGGATTGTATTTCGATGACATGAGCTAGGGTGTAATGCGATGTTTCAAGACGTCCCGCGTCCATTCGTAGTGGATAATTATGTGCGGTTGTAGTATGTTTGGTGATAAGCAGGGGGGAGCCGGCCACGCCCAGAATCGTAGTTTTGCGTGTCTCGTGATAAGATTCGAAAGACGCACGTTGAGTCGTTGATCACAAGCGACCTAGGTTTACCGGGCGCGAGCTTGAACGAGACGCAAGCGTCGGTCATCATCGTCGTGATGGGGAGCACGAGAGCCGAGAAAGCCAGTACGAGTCTGAAGGGAGTCCAAAGAAGGCAGGTATGTGTTGCTCCCACGGCTGCGGATGTAAGCCTGCTGGGGGGACTGGGGAGTGGAAGAGACAACGTCCTCGGCGATCACCGCTTGATAATCCGGCAGCCCGGAGTCGCACGGGCGCACACTGGTACGAACGGCTGTAGAATAACTAGGGACACGGCTGAGGGTCTCGACTTCGGCGTACTGGGGATGGTAGGGAGTAGCCATGCCGGAATGAATAGGGTCGTGATCAATGACTTCATCCGAGGGGCGTCGGGAAAGCTCGGGACTGGCGGGACTGTGGGAATTTGAGCCCGAGCCCCCCGAAGAAGGTCCGAAGTAATCGGGGGGAACGCCAAGGCGGCGGGTTTCAGTATCTGAATGATGTTCGTGTTCAGGCGGCGAGGGGTGATTGTGTAGGTTGGCACGAAGGCTTGACAGACGGCTATGCAATGCAGACGCTGAGATATCGGTGTTGGTCAACGCATTCATCGAAGCAAGGTTTTCCACGGAGATGTTGCGGCTAAGAGCTCCGAAAGGAGTGCCAGGACCACTTCCCGGTCCCGGTGTTCGGTAACCCGAAGGGTCAAGTTCGCTGTACAACTGATCGAACTGGTGCTCGCCATACAAGGGAGGAGCTTGCTGAGCGATGTCACTGATTGCTCTTTGTGCGGACTGAGGGGTCTGATCGATCAAGTTGTTGTTCTCATCGATGGCGAGGTTAGGGGAGATGAATATAGAGACGGGGAGTGTAGCGCGGAGCTGTTGAAAATTAGAAAGAGATCTGTGAGTGTCGGAAAATGAAAAATGCGTACCTCGCTAACATGACCATCGGGGTTAAGGAGCTGAACACGGAACTTGAGCTTATGGCGGATCTTGATGCCCCGGGTGTCTGTATCCTGCAAGCAGCGAGCCAGAGTCTTCGGCAGGTCCAGATAACGCGTGAACTGGTATCCTTCAGCCATCTCGTCGATAACATCGAGGCCACTCTCTTCGTCAACTTCATGCTCATCGTTCAAGATAGTGCGAGTACTCTTGTAGGTGTTGCGGATCGAGTCAGGATCTTCAGGGTTGAGGGTGAGGTCGTGACTCTCAATGAGCTGAGAGACAATCTGGCCGATTCTGAGTCCCTTCAGCAAAGGGATGAGCTTGAAATCCACACGGATGCTGGTCCCAAAAACGACAGCCTTGGTCGGGGTGCTGATAGAATATTCGATCTTGTTGGGCCAAACATTCTCAACCGACTGCGACGTTTGCGGGTTAGTGGGCATCGCCAAGTTTCCTGAGGTTGAGATTGCTTACCATAGCGTGGGCAAGCTCGAGGGCACTGGCCTCGAGAGTACGAATGATGCGGAGAGGCCTGCGAACGGTGATGTCTTTCATATATTTGCGTCCGATTTCCGCCTTGAAGCGATAGGTGACATAGGTGTCGGTCAGACCTTCAACACTCTCTGGCATTGAACCCTCGAGAACGATGTCGAACGGGTACTCGTAGTTGCCGGCCGGCAGAACTTCGGTTTTGCTCTTACCCGCCTCTTTAAATCGCCACGTCTTTTCGTAGAAAACCTTCTCCCTCCAGGACTTTCTACCACCGCCGGCAGTGGTGGAAGGCAAGTGCCAACTATGAGGAAATTGTTAGTGAGCGAGATCCGGGAATTTGCGACGGGTCGAAAGGCATCACATACCAGACACGAGAGATGCCGGTGAGGTGGAGTCGGATGTGCTTGATGGAGAGAGGTTCAGAGAGACAGAGAAGTAGCTTTCCACTCAAATGAGCACTGGCAGCCTCTTCTTCACCTCCTCGAAAGACAATATAGTCTTCATCTAGACTGTTTGGCGCAAGGGAGGGGTATGTTAGTCAAATCGGAGTTGCAGCCGGCATACCGGAGGAAGTGCGATGGAAGTGACTCACCGAATATCGAAGTATTTCGCGTGACTGGCGCCTCCGGCACCGAAGAAACTGAGAGCCATGACGTCTTATTCTAACAGCTGCTTATTTGCAGCTGTCAGTAGAGCAAACGTGGGCCAGGTAAGACGAAGGTGTAGTTATGCCTGGAAAGGTGGGATGGCAGGAAGTGAGTAATGGGTGTGGGAGGGGGAGGTAGATGTATTAATTTAGACTTGAGAAAGGGAGGACCCAGTCTGGGAAAATCAAAACGGGAATTTTTTTTTTTAAAAAAAAAAAAAAAAGGGAAAAAGGTAAAAGAAAAGAGGGAAAAAAACCCGCAATGATGCGACGGGGCCGAAAAACAAAAAGGCAAAAAAAAAAGAATTCAGAAGAAAAATAAGCCTGGCCGTGATGTGCTGGGCTGGCTTCTTGAGTAGTGCACTGCTTGGGACTGCTTAGGAGTGCCGTCCAGATTCGATTTGCAGACCAAAAGTCCAAACGGGGTCGACAACGGGTCCCACAGCCTAAGCAAGGAAATGGTGGTAGTGGAGCCTTGAAAGTGCAGCCGTTTCCGTCACTGGGTCTTTCTTTTCGGAGTGTCGCTCGTGAGGCCGGCTGTGGCAAGGCGGGAACCGTAGTAAAATACCCCACTAGTCCGAGTAGTACGTAGTTTGAAGGATGGATAAATTGAATTTAGGTAGGAGGGCAAATTCAAGGGATTGTGAGAACCGGAGTTGATGCGATCAACTCCAGGGAGAGAGAGAGAGAGGGAGCTGACTAAGTCTGACACTGAGATGTTGTGTCGACTAAAGATAGAACAGGATGAGATGATGAATGAGATGATGCGATCACAATCAGAAGGGTTCTGGAATGGCGGTTAGTCAATCGATGATGAACAAAGACCAACTCTTCTCCACAGAGTCATTCACTGAGGAAGTCCTCATAGAGTGAGTCAATAGAGAAAGAAAGGAATTGGCAAGAAAAGGTTGTATTCAAGCAACAAACAAAGCAGGAATTGTGAATGATGAAAGGGTAAGAAGACGAAAGGGGCGGATTGGCTGCCTACCGGAAAAATTGGTTTGCGAGTGCAGGAGCAGAACAATGGCTGAGAGTATGGAGAGTTACTTCGAGTTACTTCGCACAAGGTAATCCTAAGCCAAGAGATAGCATACAGTGACATCCGCAATCAGCAGGATCCGGAGGACCTTATTAAGTTATTAGTCTTATGAGTATTAGGTCTGACCCTGAGAATTTTTCCGTCGCCTGAGATGCTTCGGGGTCGAGTCGATCACGCCCTCGTAAGATCAGCCCTAGACGGCTGTCTGGTTATCCGGTGGCCAAGGCCTACACGTAATTCAGGTACAACAGCCACACTGAAGAGTAACGATAGCGACGATCAGTATGGCGATAGGGATGAGGACATGCGTAGTCTACTGTGGAATTGGCAGTACTCAGTATGAGCACGGAGTATCTCAGCTGTAAGTGTGCATACCTCGGGATCATCCTTCCCGCATGATGATACGCGGTCTAGTCTAGTCTCCTTCGAGGTAAATCACCTCCAAAGTCGCATCTTCCCGCTGCTACTGCCCGCTGCTACTCCCCGACCTCATCCATGTCTCGAATCTCTTTTGGATATGAGAAGCAGCCAAAATCTCTTATGTTACGGGATCTCATGAGCTCTCACACACACTACCCCTCGATTTCATGGACACCAAAGCGCATAAACACACACGCGCGCGCACGCACGCACAGCCATGCAGTCGCAGGTCGCACCGCAGCAGCTTTGGATCCCACCTGCAGGGAGTATGCAAGAGATCGTGACCAATTCCAGTTCACCCTAGTATTCGTCACTCCTGGTGCCCCACAAGGATGATGATCTATCTGCTTATCATGCTACCGGGAGCCCTGCAACATTCGGTATCATATGTTGTTCGCCTGCTACAACGATTTCCCCTCTCCGCCTCTCCTCCCTACGGAATAATTCATGCAGTCCTCCCCGAGGCCAACTGCCGGGTGGCATGACATCCAGCCAACAGCTCAAGCCATGCCAATCCTCTCGGGAATAGGTATGATTGGAGAGGGGGCGAAACAAGCACATAAAATCATCGCAGGGGAAAGGATAATCAAATAAAAAGTTAGTGAGGTGTAGGGGTCTCTGTTGGAGTCGATGTGACAGCAACCCTTCCCGAGCTTCAACTGTCAAGGATGAAGCTCAAGTTTTCGCAAACCCATGCCTGAAGTGGAGAACAATCATCCATCCATTTGATTTTCTTCGGGCAGCACCATTAGCGTTCCGGGCCACACTCCACCACGGGTATCTTTGACAGTTGAAGTTAGCAACATGAATCGGTGTGACCGACCGATATATTCGTACACAAGACCACCCAATTGCGCTACCCAGCTTCACACAGTCAAAGGAGGGGCAGATTCGAGACTTTTGATATTGGCGGGGCGTTGGCGTAATCTACGCACAATGTGTGGAGTTTTGACTATCAGCGTTACATTGGCCGTTCGATTCTGAGACAAATGTGAGTAAAAGTATGCTCAACAGCCCGATGTCAACTTGCAGTTGGTTTCGATGACCGTGGTAGTATGACAGGTTCTGTATTCAGATTATAGAGTATGTATTGCTCAGCACGGCTCCAGCCAAAGACGATCTCCAAAGCTTCAATATTCCCTGCTGCAGCTCAGCGCACGAGGATGCAGAACACACACGCCCTGGACATGATTTCAGCAAGCTCGGCTGCAACCCTCAGGACTGGGAGTCAACTGACATGGGTAATGGGGCGCCAGCAGAGTCCATATACTAGGAGGTGTATCAGAAAAACATTTCGTGTGAGAGGGCGACCGACCGGCTTCTAGAACGGACACTTCGATCTCCTAGTCGGACCCTCTGGTTTACTCCGTAGCTACTCACCACCTAAGATTTACTATGTACTACCTACCTACCACTTCTTACCTAGTCCATCCGACTTGGGACGGTGGACCCGGGTAGACTAAACTTGTCGATGCATCAATATCATACACCGCTATCGGGCGCTCTCGGGGACTGTTCCGGCGAGGGTCGGGGGAAACCGCATCCTTTTCGGCGGCCGGCTGTCATCCACCCGAAATTTCGATGGTTATCGCAAGCTAGACTATGAGTACGACTTGCCGTCTCAAATACTGCTCGAAATAGAAAGAGCGCAATCGAAATCAGCCGGTATATACCGTAAGAGTGACGCCGGTTGAATTCGTTGCGGAAAGAGGTTGTCGCGACTCGGGACTCTTGACGCAAACTATGATGCGATAAGCATGTTCCAGGCCCCTTTTAGTTTTGGCAGATGCTAAGATTTTTCGGCTTGACAAGAGCCTGGGCCCACTGCTCCGTTGTCAAGAGCCAAGAGGGATTTTGGTCCCTGACGGTCAGTGAATGGTCAAGTCTGCAATCGCTATCTATGACGGACGAGACAATGGTATGCCAATCGACGCGGTGAGTCAAAAAGAATGCTCGAACCAGATCATCGGAGGAGTGATTTGCAGAACCACATCGAGTGATCACATCATCCGAGCCAGAAAAGTCAATCAGGTGGGCCGGAATACAAGAACAAATTCAACTTGGCGGCCCACTTGCGATTTGTGGCTTCGGGATGTTGCAAACCACAAATCAGGATCACTGAAAAATCCTCCCGAAGGTGAACTTTTAAGATCTCGTTCTCGCCTTGCACTCTTCCGCAACCTGATACGAAATCATCATGATTCCCCGTTCGCTGTGATGAACTCCGTAGAGGTAGACTACACAGTTCTCATCGGCATTTACAGCCGTAAGGCTTGGTTTTCAAGGGGCATTTCGTCTTGCACCCACACAATCCCAGCACGTGCTCGACACAGGCACGTAAGCTCCGCGCCTGGATTGGGTAAGGATCATTCGAAGATGAAGCGTCGTCCATGCCAGTTTATCGCCACAGCCGGGCGACCGAAAAGTTCTGATCGTGCAGTTACCAATTCAGTCTAGACGAGGCACGGGCCCAAAGACTCAGGACTCAGGAGCGAAGAGTCAGACAAGGCACGGAATGCCGTGCTCCGTTAAGATCCAGGGGCCCATAGGCCTTTTTCGGCTTGCCGAGTCCTCTGGCCTGCGGCCCAGCCCTGTCCTGTCCGGTGTCCCCTTTCGGCATAGACCTGCCATCATATCACTGTCAGTGAGCGAAATCCGAATGGACCAATCGACTTATCATGAAGATCCAGACGATGAGATCAGAAGTACTCCTGTACCAGAAATTGGCTTCCGTAGCGGATCGACGCGACCAAGTATGCTGGCTCGGGAAGTACTCTAGAGTCTAGATAAAAGTCAGGAAAGTTGGACGGTCAGCCAGCCCGCTCGCCCCCTGCAGCAGTAGTGACCAGTTAGTGTGCTTCGGATTTCAGACAGTTTTGTCTAGCGATTGTAGTGTGATGAACTGATGATAATAACCGGAACTATTAGCAGCCTAGCCAGGTACCGAGCACGGACGCTTTAAAAACCCACCAGAGAAAATTGTTGTTGTTGCTGTTGTCGCTGCGTACGGAGTACATGTCGGGCAGCAGTCCTCCACCGCGGCGCCAGCCTTTCTTTCCCGAATGAAGCGTGTTGGTGCCTAAGGACCAACAAGCGGCAGCGGCGGACAGCACGTGGCCGGCCCTCAACCTCAAGTCCGGTATCTTTTCCCGACCGTCCTTTTCTTTCACTCCTTATCAGGAACCACCCACTCCACCACTCCACCACACACACCCCTTCTCTCCTTATCAATTGTCCGATTGTCGCAATAGAATCTCTATCTTGTTATCAATTTACCCGAGTTACGCGACCTTCCAGCCGAGGTTCGCTGCAATCCTGCCGCCACCATCTAACTACTCATATATCACGATCGACCCATTCTCACAGGATGAGCTCACGTGTGAGAGAAATGGCGCCATGCCTCTTTTTGATGGTCTTTCAGAAGGCAAGCTTGCCGTGATGCTTTTCCGGACTGCTGAAGCGCATAAAGACAAATTGGGCCCGGAAAATACCTTTGCAGCTGGGGGGGCATCGTCACATGCCACATGCAGATCAGGGTGAGATCTACCCTTCCCATCATCCACTTTCATCCACTCTTTCTTATCATGTAATATCGCCGGGGTCGAGACTGCAATTAGATAATCGTGCAATTGTATCTACACTGCAGTCACCCGCTGGTCACATCTAGCATTGGAACGACCAGAAGACTTCCTGACTTTAAAGCGATAGACCCCCTTCACGGGTGAGAATCCGATCTGAAAGGAATGAATGCCCCAAGACGGACGATTGATTTCGGGCAGAGGGGGTACCCTTCGCTCGTCAATCGACTTCATCATCTCCAAACCCTCTGTGGCGGACAGACGGCCATGACGTACTGTTATCAACATGATCGGCCACCCACCTCCCTGGCTCTTTTCAACACCCCGGGTGGCTTTCTTCGAATAAGCCACTTTGCTGGATAGAACAGCCTGGATTCGACCGCGGATTTGTCCTTAGAGATTTTTTTAGCCAATGCCCCTGGTCCCCCATGTAATACTCATCATCAATGGATCTGCACCGCGGGAAGGCAACAGCTCTGACGCAAAGCATGCTGCATCGAGAACCACCAGCCCGCCCTAGCACGATCACCCGGACCAGCCGGTATGCGTCATATTGAGCTTGGACCGGAGGGCTATCGAAGCAGAGGTTTCCACTGAACCCCCACGATCCGTTATGGGGAAGTGCTAAAGAGGGTATTCCCGGCGAGGGCCCGCGAAACCTCTCAGGCCACCTGCGCATTGTGGCGTTTGTTGCGTATACATGCACCCAATCAAGGGCCTGGTCCTGTCTGCTGACCGGCATGCTGATACTGTACAGAAGTTCCAGAATGCCTCCCTCGCAAGATACACATGCACAACCACCGCTGCCGGTTCCCATTCGCTTTCATCCCGGCTCTTCTTAATGAACAATTTTGCCGGAGCCAAGCCTTGCAACCAATTAATTCAACCAGTCAGTCCCACACAGCCTTCTCTCACAATAGTGGTGCTCATGTTGTGCTAGTGCGGTTGATTCTCAGGGCCACAGCATTGGCTTGCAGCGGACAAGAGTCCAAAGTGTGCCATCGCCTGAGCGTCCTACATCATAGACAGACAACAATACTCTGGGCCAGTGAATCGAACCACTGTGGAAATACTATTCATCATCAGACGCACAGAGGCGCTTCCATTGGTGAAGACAATTGCAATCTGATATTGTATGCCCGGCTTTTCGGCCACCGTTCATATCCTGCTCCTGTGATTTTCTACTTGAGTCGAGCCTAGTTTGGGGACGGTCGTATTGTTCGCCGGCCCAAATTCCACTGATTGTGCAATCCTCATTATCGACAAGCTTGCTGTTGTATTCACTGTTGCTCGACTCGGTACTGATCGAGCTTGCTGCTTTCTTGTCCGTCCAATTTGCTCTCGAGGCCTTGCCACGAATGCTGACAGCTAGACGCTTTATCTGGATCTGATTTTGTCGCCGCCGTGGCTGTGCCAGGTCAACGAGCACCTCTTTCTGCCCTGTTGAATCATATCTCCGCACGCACTGATACTGCTTCCTTTAGCAGTGCCACAAGGAGAATAGATACATGTTCGACATGGCCTGCCATAGCCACAGTGCTGTCACTAATGCTCGAAGAGACACCAGCACTTTTTGGCCGTCGCCAGCATCAATCTACCACTCTTCTCTCTGATGTCGATGAGAATCAGACAGGAGAATAGACCCAAAGTTAGGTGTAAAGGCAGCGTGGGGTGGTCAAATAGGTTGTAAACGAGTTTCATACATTCACAGCAGCCATGCACGAGCCTTCCGACAACCACAAATAGTGACCTAATCCTATCCTTCGGGTACAACAGATTCTAGCTCGACCGTACTGCACCCGCCAAGAAGAGAGCAGACAACCGACGCTGTGATCTCCTAACTAACCTCACAGCAGTAGCAGCAGCAGCAGCACATCCAGCAAACCAATATAGGCTCGACCAATCTAGCAGCTAATGTCTAGACCAACCGACCGAAGGCATGGCTATCACGAAACGACAAGACCTACCAGAGGATCGCAAGGATCCAACCCAGCCCACTACGCTGGCCAGTAACTGAACATAATGAACAGACAATATACACCCAGTACACCCTTGTAATCTCCCCCCCCCCCCCACACCGAAAGCGAAAGAGAACCCATAATAATGCATCGGTCTAGATAACCCTAAAATCGAAGCTATAAGTACAGTCTAAGTGAAAATAAGCTATGAAAACCACCAAGAAGTAAAGCCAGGGGTATCAACAACCCCCCTATCATCGCTATACATTAAACCCAGTCTAACCCCAACCCCAACCCATCATCACCATAAGAATTAAAACGAACAGAAATGAAAGGAAAAGTCCCTTGTAACCCGCAAGTCGACCTGTTCCAGAACATTACCCGGTCCTCCTCCCACATAAAAAGATAGACAAGACACAACACAGCCAGCCAGCCAGCCATGATGACCCACCCTAGTCCCCAGTGTCCCAGCCCCCCTCAAGACCACCGCACCACAAACAGGAAGCAGCAAAGCTCATGCACCACCGCACCGCTCCGCAATACGGCCGCACCAGCGAGCGACCCAACCCCTCAACTCCTCAACCCCCAGCCTCCACCCCCCGCCTCCAGCAGAGTTACTCACTACCATCCCATCCCCCAACCCAACCCAACCCAACCAGCAAACCAGATGTGAGGCGGACCCTTCAAAAGACCCACCCCAAAGCAATCCACACCAGCAAGCCCGCCACGACCACAATGCCCGCGACCTTCAGCACAGCCACCGTATCGCCCTGCCGCGCCATGCGGGTCAACCGACTGGCGCTGCCCTTGAGATTCGTGGACAGAGAGGAGAAGACTTGGTTCTGTGCAGCAGCGAAGAAAAAAGTAAAAAACGTCAGTTTGGAAAACACCCCCCGAAGAAAAAGAAGTGAACGAACCGAATGGTCCAACGTCTCCTGATCCCTCGCATTGTCGTAGATATCAATCGTCACGGACTTGAGCGCCGAGACCTTCGAGGAGAGGGAGTTGAGGAGGGCGTTGTTTTGTCTAACCGAGTGCCAGTTGGGGTTAGTTGTTGGATCTTGCGAACGTCACGTCGCTTCTTCTTGGACTTCCGAATCAAAAGTCCAGGATGCCCAAGGGTTTGATTTGATTGCCAAAGCTGAAGAGAGCCGGGGGATGGGAGGCCAGGGATAATCAAGGTAAGAACATCACATACTGTTCGCGCTCGTAGGCTTCGGCCATTTTCGCGGTTGTTTCGGTTCGTTGCGGGGCCGGGGCGAGGGTCAAGGTGCAAGGTTGTCCTAGGAAATGTAGAGGGATCCGGTTCGTGAGATGTATTAGGTCCGGTAAATAAAGCGGAGTGCGTTGTCTATTAGGATAAGAAAGATGAAGAAAAGGACCGGGGTCTGAGGCAGTACGGAGAAGGAAGTCAAGAGTCCATGGCCGGCCGGGAGTGGATTGGATGACGCTGCGGAGGCTTGTGGGGAAGACGGCTGTCACGTGCCAGACTCATCGCCAGGTCGCGGCCCCTCCTCGGTGGATAATTTACTTGAGAAGGAACTGCATTGGAATCTATATAACCTGAAAATTACAGGGCATCCTGAACATCATCAGCCAATATCAAGTAACCCCGCCAATGGCTACTAGCCTCCAGTCAGTGGTCAGGTTCTATGATAAAATAAGCGTTAATACAGACAGTAAAGAATAGAAAATCAAGCAAACCCCTCTCGCTATGCGATCAAATCAAGCCAAGGCAACAACAACAACAACATCAACAACAACAACAGGTCATATCAGGCACTACCCCACCATCATCATGGAATATGCAAAGGTGCACTATATAAAGTTGGTTCACAGCAGCTTTCCCTGTGAGTATAGTGAGATATGAAACAGAAACCCTCATATCCTTTTCTTTCGCTGTGCTATTTGCCACATATCGCGGTTCCAAAGATAGGAGCTAACACCAGTGTACAAAGCTGCAAAAAGGCGCCCGATACGACAGAAGCAGGGGTATAGAAATGCTCGTCAACTATTCGACCGTAGCAAGGGAAGAGCCTGTCCATTCACAATCACCACATATCGTCTTCGTCATCATCCAATTGCATATCATCTCCAAAGGTTGAATGACCATATTGACTATGGCCAGGGCCGTATGCATTCCCATTGTCATAGCCATCTTTGCTCCCACGCGACTGGGATCGGTACTGGTCTTGATGCTCGTCACTATATTCATACATCTGAGGATCATCGTAGGAACTGTCGGTGTACTGTTGCTCCTGGGCCTGCACGTAGAAGGAAACGTCAGCAGATTTCTGTCAAGGCCTTGGTAGCAAGAACTTACCTCTTGATACCGCTGGTACTGTTGGTACTCTTCCTGTTGTCGCTGCTGCTGTCTCTGAGCCGCTGATGTTGCGAGCATCATGTGCGGGTGCATCTGTTGCACCTTGGCCAAGTACGAGTACATGAAATTACTCAACAAGACCTGCGAGTACAGCGCGCGTCGAGGATTCGCAAGCTTGATATGCGCCATCCGGTAAATTGCTCGTTCTTCCAGGATAGAGAACCGAGTCCAAGCGTAATCAATATCTGGCCGCAACTCTCGAACTGGCGGCTCAGGGGACAAGTTACGAGAGGAGCTCTTCTTGTGATGATGCCCGCTATCGCCATTGCTCTTCTTCCTACTACCACCAAAGATGGATGAGAATAGCCCCGATTCCTTCTCTTTCTTCGACTCGCCGGAAGCTCTCCGTGTGTTATCTTTGCGCCTTTCATCCTCTAATTTGGGGTCCAGTCGGTCCATAACAAGGCTTTCGCGTCCCCGCTGGATAGTCTCGCTCGACAAGGGTGGGGTGTGAGATGCATCGTGTGCTTTGTCCGCAGACTTCGATTTGTGCTTCTTCGAATCGCTGTCCTTGTCCTTCTTCTTATCCTTGTCCTTGTCCTTCTCCTCGTTACCCAAAAGCCAGTGCCAGCTCGATTTGCGTCCTCCTTCAGACTCCTTTTTGTCCTTTGATTTCTTCGATTCGGATTTCCTTTCTTCGGGCTTGCGTTCCTCTGACTTGCGATCTTCCGACACGGTGGGAATAAATGAAAGACTGTCGGTTCGCATAGTATTACCGGGCAAGGGCTGCGGGTTATTGGCGAACTCGTTAAGAGTGGGGGCGGCATCCGTTGCATGTGTGCGACTGAGTCCGGAACGTTTGTTAGGGGGACGCTCGTGCGATCGATCTGCTGCCGAAGGGCTCTTTGAGGGCGGGGTCTGCTGCTGAGAACTTGGGCTCGGGGGTGTGGCACTGCTTTCGGGCGGCGGGGTCTCAACTATTTCGGGAATTCTCTGTTCGGAGGATGGAATGTTCAATGTCGAGCGTCCATTCGAGCTGATCCGCGAATGCCATTGTTGACGTTCAGGTGGAGGGGCGCTTGCCCGATCTGATGGATCGGGAAGAACGGAGTCACTTACTGAAGGTGTTGGTTCGGAAGCCGAATCCGACGTGAAACTGGATGTTGTGTCAGGGGTATGCGGGGTTGCTTGAGTAGACTTGGCCAAGGCTTGCGACCGTGTCACACTCGGCGTGGGATCAGTCGATACCCGTGTCAGACCTATAGCTGCTTGTCCGCCTGTAGGGTCGTTCCCGTCCGCCGACTTCCCTGCCCGTTTGGAGTATGGGGCTTTCTCTCCCTTTCGTAGGCTTCCAGCCTTGCGATATTGGGTTCTTGTTGAGCGTCGAAGACTGTGACCTGGAGGGGCTGGAGGAAGTATCGGTCTATCTTCGTCGGCTGATAACCCAAGCTTTTGGATATCGCTGAGGATTGACGAAGCGCTCGGCGTGCGCGACTTCGAGTCATCTACCAAGCTTTCCAATTCGTGCAGGTTGGGACCCAGCGAGTCCTTTTGTGTCTGTGAGCGTTTTCGCTCGAGCCGCTCCGCACCATCCGTATAGCCATGAGAGCTGTCGATCTGCCTTGAAAGCATGGACCGCTTCCGTCTCAGTCCTCCTCGCATGCCTTCGCCATCCGAGCCTAGGGTCGAAAATTCCCCGGACTTCCGTTTGATCATATCTGCCTTGCTTTCGAGGAACGATTTGAACTCCTTGGGTGCCAACTCCGGGTGTAACCGGGCGGGGACCCAGAAAAGGCGGGCAGCATCGTTCTCATCGTCGGAGGGAGAGGGCGCGATCGACGGCACTGAAAAACTCGGCAGGTCGGGATCCCCGGTGGCTGCCACGTCCATTGACATCCGCCGGATTGCAGCCAAGTTGCTCAGCTCTTGTGCCACGGCGGCTGGATTGGACTCGTAATCGATATCGTTGAGAGGGAACGAGGTAGTAGCGGTGTCGGTGGAGCCGGGAGAGGCGGTCGAGGCGGGAGACGTCGGGCTGCTCTCCACAGACTTGGAACCTTGCGCCCATGTTTGCCCATTCACTTGCCGTTGGTTTACTTCATTCGGATGGTTTTTCACTTGTAGATTTTGGGGCGAGGTAGGAGATTCGCAGCCGGCCAGATTTGGAGGTATGATTGTGATCGCTTCACTTAAGGGGGAGGAGATATAGCTGAGGCGCCGAGAATCGCGTTTGTCGTAATCATCTTCGTACATGTGCCCGATGGCTTCTGTTACATGGTGACTTGGATCGCTAATTGACAATTGGGGAACATGCCCTCGCCGCGTCGCGTATCCTCCTCCAGGTTCAGAGGGGCTCGGTGAAGCCTACGCGTAAAGGAGAGGTTGTTAGACGCAATCCCGCAGTCGTAAATAGTTGAAACAGGGGGGTTATTGAGGACCCCACAACCCACGGGGCAAATGGCATTGGTACCAGCAACGCACACAAGTGCAAAGCTGTAGAAGGACAGAGAATCGAAAGGCAGAAACAGAAAATGCTCATAGCCAGTCTTGAATGGGGCGATTTACAGGGACCAGGGGCGGAGAGAAAGACAAGGAAGAGAACGTGACGCACCTGCATGGGAGCAAATAATTTGAGGGGGGGGGGAGGGAGCTAAAGAGCAAGCGTCCCGAGGTTGACAAAGGACCAGGAACTTCGCCTGGTGGAAAGGAGGTCAATGTACCACCAGGGTCGCAAAAGTAGACAAGTAGAGGATAGTCATGGAATCATCAGAGCGGGGGAACGTATTGTCGACGAAGAGGAGCAACCACCAGGGTGACCAGGAGTGAGAAATGACGATGACGGCTAGGCATCCGGCGGCCAACGGCGGGAGAGAGAGGGAGAGGAGAGGATGGTAACGAGCAGTCGGTTTTGAAGGTGGAGAGAGAGGAGGGAGGGGGAGGGGTGAAGAGAAAAAGAGGGATTGAAGAGGAGAAAGAGGAGGAGGAGGCCAGCGAACGAGGCTGAGGAGGGAGAGAGTGGCCGTGGTTGCTGTTTGGTTGGTGGTGAAGAAAAAGGATAATAGGGAAAGGATGAGAGAAAAGATGGGGAAATTCACAACCTTGTAGTTAAGTTGCTCGTAGTTTGGTAGGTAGTAAGTAGTAGGTACCTAGCAGTAAGTAAAAAGGCTGGAGAGTCCCAAGGTAAGTAGGTACTAGGTAAGTATTGTACCCACCACTGCTTGCCTGTCTGCCTGCTTGTACGGAGTACTGAGTATTAATATTGTACTGGCAGTACTAGGAACAGTACGGAGTACTAAGAAAGAGTACCAGTAATCATGCCCAGTGAGTGTGGTCCCTGCGAGAAGTGGTTGGTTTGATCTGGTTGGTTGCTGGTTCGGTGGTCGGTCTGGCCGCGATGATCGTAGTCGACAGAACAAAAATAGATGAAGATTCCAGCAACTAATATTGTTTCGCGACACAGGTGAGGGTGTCCTTGGCTCTTCTGAGATAGAGCAGTAATTTAAATGTATGAAAGAAGGAAGAAAGGTGGGAAAACCAGGGGAGAACACACTCCTGAGTGGGGTGGATGGACTGTATCAGAGAAAGACCCATATACTGTCTGTCCATTTACAACCGCAGTCGAATCTGGAAGATTCGTCCTGTCTGGTTCCCGTTTGGATGGGCGGATTTTGTTTGGTTGAGGTAGGTACGGAGTAGTACCTAGGTATATCTCAGGCACACCGTTGAGTTCTGTCAGGTACAGTCCACACGAGGAATGGGGAAACAAAAAAACAAAAAAAAGACACAGTTTCCCACAGTACCCCGCTGATGCGTAGTAGAAGTAGTCTAGCTTGGAAGTATATGGATGTTAAGATGATGGGATGGGATGGGATGGGATGGGATGGGATGGGATGAATACTACCTCCTAATCAACTAACTGATTGGATTCCGCGCAGGCCGAACTACCGGCTGACTCAGCCCGCCCGCCCTCTCCACAGCTGATCCATGATCGATCCATCCACTAGTATGGAGTAGTTAACTTATCAACTGGCAGGTCACCTCCCCTCCGTTCGTTCGTTCGTTCGTTCGTGCGCTTGCTTGCAGTAGGCGATCAATGATCAACATTACCCCCGTGCTGCTGGTGGGTTTGGATTGACAAGTGGCATGGTCTTTCCCCATGGTCAAAATGCTTCCCCTCACTTACTTCACTTGGTGTTTGTACTGTTACCTTCGCATTAGACAAAGAACCTGTGGCTGAAGATATAAATTGAATACATTATATACTACCTAAAAACATGGGATTTCCCTTCTTGACCCGTTCCAATCCTTCTTGAACCTGTTCATTGAAGCCCTGCGGCCCATGATGCAGCAGCATGAGGGCTTCAAGGGATGTCTTTTGCTTTATTCCCTCCTTCCTATACTCACTTACGCTAACTAGGGATTTCCTCCCCTGCCTGGCCTACAGTATGAGGTACCCACGCAACCCTCAGCTGTCAGCGTTTCGCTCGAGCTCTATGTGTATCATTTGATTCACAACGGGACTGTCATCGGAGCATGCCAAAAGTCACTGTAAGGCCTTCCCTGGCCTCGTGAATCAGGCTTTGACACCAGCTCGAGCTGTCCTTGGATGAGTCATGCTGCTAGTGTTCAGCTCAGAGGTTCTGTACAGTCAGTACTTTCTTACTACAGGATGTCTCGTATCGTTGAGCCTCGCCAGGGAGGAGAAAAGGAAACGACCCACCCCCACTTCCGCTAGTACTCCGTAGGTGGTAGCCAAGAAAAGGATGGAGAGAAGAATGAAAGCTAATGAAATTGAAGTGGCAGCACGAGAAGGATTAAGGACCTGACAGGAATGTTTATCGACTTTTCATCCCACCGTTGGCCGCCCTTCCTTCAAGGCAAGACCTTATTGTTGTTATGCCTGACACGTGAGGATTGTGGTCCACCCGGTGCGCTCAGCCCATGATTGAAGTGCTCAGGCGGAGGGGCCCAGATGACCTCGCTTACTCAAGGATGCAATACCACAGGGAGGACATTTGGTCTCAAACTCTTCGAAGAATGTACATTCGTTATTACCTCCAAACATGCGGGGTATGGACGGACAGACAGGGAGGGACATGCCTATGAAACTTACACCTGAGAAACGACTGGTGACGACAGCAAGCCAGCCACTTTCTGGCGACATCCAGCCATCACGCCAGAGTCTTTGTGTTCAATGCCAGGCGCCCTTGCAAGGGGGGTTGATTTATGTCAGTTGAGCGGCAGCTAACCCCAACACAATGGGGGACTGAGACCTCTCCAATCATTCCATCTCAACTCGGTGAACGATAATTGAAGCCATTCAGTCATTCTAACACTGCCAGGTCTGCCGGCTAATCCCATACTGAAAAAGAACATCTTATGTATAAATTGGAAGCAGTACCTAAGCACAATCACAAACACACGCACCCGAAGGACAGCCCAGTCGGAACCACAACCCACAAATGTGAATACCTGGCTCATCCCCTATTCGTGCAAGCAAAAACCTGCGCTCACTGGTCAACTCAATTTGAACTCCGGTGCTGATATGAAATGCCAAAAGCGGACCCTTGGAATTGCAGAGCTGACATATTTGCAAGAGAGAAAAATCGCCAATGCGAAACTGAAAGATCAAAGAGGACGAGTATTCTGGAAGGCATTGAGGGAAAGACAGAAACAGGGATGTCATAAAAATGTCATTTCGCATAAACTAAGACAGGGGAATCAAGGTTTTAAGCAGGGTCAACATAATTACTACGCATGGCAGGTTAGTATCCGGCGCAGGATTTCGGATCTGACGGACAGTGATGCTTACCTGGGAAAGATTCCAACTCGGTCTCCAATTCGCCCCGTCCACCAGTCCTCCGCCTTGTCAGTTCGCTTGAGGATGGTGATGATATCGCCTTTCTTGAAACCCAGGTCGCCTTCTTGATCAGCATCGAATGTGTACAGCGCAACTGCCTGGTCCTGACGGAGTGTAGGGGCAGCCCCTGTCCTCTGCCCAAAGATCGGCTTCGGGGCTGTTGGACGGCTGGGTTTGCGGTCGGAATACACATAGTCTTCATCAATAGGGGCGGTGTTGCTACGGCTGCGGTTGAAAGACTCGTAGGTATCCGGGCGGCTGCTGTTGCGAGTCGTTGATGACCGGTTCAGACCTCCCGCGGGTCGGTCATAGATATCATCGGCCCACGTGTTCGCACGACGAGGACGATCCCGGTACTCATAGTCGTCGTTGCCGTTCACCCCAGTCCGGTCACGCCGAAGACCTTCTCCATAGGCATCGCCTCGTCGACCCTCCCATACCACATCATCATGGCTATCATCATAGACAGGAATATCGTTATACATAGTATCTCCTTGCCTCGAGTTGCCATAGAAAGCGCGCGAGTTCAAGATACGTAGAAGAGGATCAGCGGCAGGAGGAGGCCGAATGGTTCCGCTCAGTAGCTGGCGGGCCGACACTCGACTGTTGTACATCTTCTCGTTCGCATCCTTGCGCTCCACCAACATACTTCCCTCCAGACTCACGCCGGCAAAGAGACCCTTGGTCTTGGAGTATGAGAACACCGCCGCGACACCCTTCGTACTTGCAGCGCCTGCGGCCTCGGCGTTGCGTCCGATCGGTCCAGCGGCAATCGAAACATTACCACCCAGTGTCAATGTTCCCGCCTGAGAAAACGTGCGCACAGCAGCCGCATCATTCAAGATAAAAACGAAGTCGGTCAATTCAAACCCTATCTGGCCCCCGAATCCGGCACCTGCTGTCGCAATGGCCGACGGAGCCGACCAAGAGCCATCTGCGAGGCGGGCTACAACAACCCCCGAACCGAAGCGAGCGGAGCCCAGGAAGCCGGCTTTCAGGACAGTAAGAATGGCGAGACCCTGGCGACAGAGCGGTCAGCCTAAGACGAAAACGCCACGGAATGGGCATGACAAAGGAAGGCAGGCTCCTTTGCCCACTTACTTTAGCGCCTGCTAGAATTTCGGGAGGAATGACCTTATCAGGTCCAAATGCTTGTCGGGGGTCCACGAAGGACGTAAGAATTTTCCCAACCTTTTTGCATTCGCCTGTTGTCCGCGGGTTAGTTCACGCTCAATAGCCTCGCAAGTGATTGCGGGGAAGTTGGAAAGCGGGCGGAGTAATGCATACTTGACAGAGATGAAGGGAGCGGATTGTGAATTCCGAGAGGCATCTTGAAAACCACTCCGGACCTGAGAAACCCGTAAAGAATGGGAGGAGAGAGTGAGAAGAGGAAGTAAGGAAGGAGGGGGTGGGATGAAAGAGAGAGAGTTAAGAGTCAGGGAGCAGTTAAGAAGAGAAAGGTGTTGATAACCGTAGGTTGCTTTGGTCTTGAGGGAGCGACCGGAAGTGGAACCCAAATGACGGGCTGACATCCACTCGCTTTCGCAAACGATCTATGCTTCTCCTGCCAACTCAAGCTGACCAAAAGCAACCGCGGCACCATGCACTTAGTGCAGCACGCTGGATTTGATATCGCTGGCCGTGTGCTCTGTGAAAAAAGTCGCTGAGTGAGCATTGGCCTGTCTGGCTCAAAGAAAAACCCCCGAGAGTGTGCTCAGGCCCGCGATATCGAGCCCAAAGAGTATGCGCTTTTCGTTTTGTCTCCATTACGTCCTGTGGCTGCGGTTGCTGCGGTCGGCTTCCTTCACATCCGGCTGCCGTAACTCATGCAATTGATTCTTTCAGATAAATGGAAGTCGCTAGGGAGACCTCGACCTTATAGCCCAGTAGGCCGATATGATGCGATCATCTTTTCGCTTCCACATTGTGTGCGCATCAGGTGTTGCACAGATTTGTACGGCACAGTAATATTGCACATCCATGCAATCCCTCCGATCGAGACCTGAGGCTGCGAGAACGGCACAGCCACCGCCGAGGTTCCGCTGATCATCTCCGTCACCGATCGGAACCTGAAAGCACCCTTCTTCGAGCAAGACAAACTCTTGGTTCTCATGTCGGCAACATCAGGAAGGCATGACTCAATGATCAGAGAAGGGTGATAGCAGCTGCATTCCTAACCCATTTCACGATGGCTACAGGTTCGACAAGCCGACCGCAATTGACCCTGATCTACGGTTGCTGACAGCACTCCAGTGCGAATCTGCGTCTGTGGAGACGAAGGCACTGGCAAATCCAGCTTGATCACTTCTCTTGTGAAAGGTGTCTTTGTTACAAACAAGATTCAGCCCGTCCTACCCCAGATCACAATACCTCCGACCATCGGTACCCCCGAAAATGTCACAACGACAACAGTGGTGGACACCTCCGCGCTTCCGCAAGAGCGGAACAACTTGGCAAGGGAAATCAGAAAATCTAATGTGATCCTACTTGTGTACTCGGATCATTACAGTTACGAAAGAGTCGCTCTGTTCTGGCTGCCGTATTTCCGCTCCTTGGGGGTCAATGTACCGGTAGTTCTTTGCGCGAACAAGTCCGACCTGGCTGCGGACCACACGGAGACACAAGTCATTGAGGAGGAGATGCTCCCGCTAATGGCAGAGTTCAAGGAGATCGATTCATGTATACGCACCAGTGCCCGCGAGCATCGAAATGTCAACGAGGCTTTCTTTCTCTGTCAAAAAGCCGTCACGCATCCCATCGCACCGCTCTTCGATTCGAAGGAGTCGGCTCTGAAGCCCGCTGCTGTCGCCGCGCTACAACGCATATTCTATCTGAGTGATAAAGATCGGGATGGTTATCTTAGTGACAAGGAAATGGAGGACTTTCAGATGCGCTGTTTTGAGAAGCCTCTGAGCGAAGAAGATCTTGTTCATATCAAGGAGACCATCCAAAGGGCACATCCTCACTCGGTCACTCCCTCAGGCATTGACTGTCGCGGGTTCCTTCATCTCAACAAGATGTATGCTGAGAAAGGCCGTCACGAAACAGTCTGGATCATTCTACGGGCTTTTCAGTACACGGATAACTTGTCGCTTCAAGAAAACTTCCTCCATCCGAGATTTGAAGTTCCCCCTTACGCATCAGCTGAGCTGTCGCCAGAGGGCTATCGTTTCTTTGTTAACCTTTTTCTTCTCTCCGACAAGGATAATGATGGTGGATTGAATGACGCCGAGTTGGCGTCGCTATTTGCGCCGACACCAGGTTTGCCGGCCTCTTGGGCGGATGGCTCATTCCCATCTTCCACCGTTCGGAACGAGGCCGGTCACGTCACCCTTCAGGGCTGGCTGGCACAATGGAGTATGACCACTTTCACATCGCCCAAGACCACGCTCGAGTACTTGGCCTACTTGGGATTCGAGTCAGCCGACCGCAGCAATCCTTCGACAACGGCGGCGCTTAAAGTCACGCGGCCACGAAAGCGAAGGAGACGGCCCGGACGCGTGGGGCGCAACGTCGTTCTTGGCCACGTGCTTGGAGCTCCGGGATCCGGCAAATCGGCTCTGTTGGATGCGTTCCTCTCGAGAGGATTTAGCGCCACATATCACCCCACCATTCAGCCACGAACCGCTGTGAATACAGTCGAGCTCCCTGGAGGGAAGCAATGCTATCTGATCCTGGACGAACTTGGAGAGCTCGAGCCTGCCATCCTGGAGAATCAGGTCAAGCTCCTCGACCAGTGCGATGTCATTGTTTACACGTACGACTCTTCTGATCCCGATTCGTTTGCATATATTCCAGCTCTGCGGGCCAAGTACCCGCACTTGGAAGAGCTTGCGAGTGTGTTTGTTGCACTTAAAGCGGACCTGGACCGAACCACCCAACGGGCGGAGCATCAACCTCATGAATACACGGCCATGCTGAACATGCCCAGTCCACCACTTCATGTCAGTGCTACGTGGAGTTCAATCCAAGAAGTGTTTGTTCACATTGCCGAGGCGGCTATGGAGCCTAGCACGGCCTTCCCACGGAGTGAGGAAGATGTCGAGGGCAAGTGGATGTCGTGGGGAATCGCGCTGGGGGCGGTTGTCTGCGCGGGGGCAGCAGCGGTGATGATCTGGCGGAGAGTCAGTGGTAGTGGGGTCTGAGCCCTCATAGCGCTTCTGGTTCCCCAACACTATGTAGTTACCGATAGTTGTAAACCTAGAAACTAGATACCCTTGACAATTCTGCCTACCTGCATTGCCAGAAAGCATTCATGGAAAGTAAGGTAGGCAGGTACAGTAAGTACAATGGACCCAAGAGCACCATTGATGGTGAACCCCGCCGTAAGTACCTGCTACGTAGTCCAGTATGCTACTAGGTAAAGTTGCCGGCCGGCCCCACGCGCGAACTTGCCTCTAACCGTCTACGAGTAATTGGTCTAATACTGTTAGTTCAACTAACGTAAACTAACCCCGGAATAACCATGACCACCGGTTGGCTGCCCGTCAGCTCCAGCCTCCCACCCAGGTCCCGGCCATCCGTCTGTCGTCTGTCTGCCAGGCTTCCTTCCAAGTGACTTCCAAAGTGACTCTGGCTTCATTCCGACCTCTCCTTTCCAAGACACAAACTCTGCCGATTCGTGCCCGGAATTCCCCCCCCTGTCTCCTCTTGATCTCCGCCCCCGAAGTCTACTGTGTACGTACTTAAATTACCCAAGGACGGCCGCGGATTGTCCCAGTGTTTCGACCAACTTTCCTCCTCGGCCCAGCTACCTCTCTGCCACCGAAGGTCGCTTCTCTCCCTCCACCAGGACCTGCAATACTGGCTGAGCGCAAAACTTGCCCTGGCAATATCCTCTTTATATAAACATTATCAGTATAAAGAGCCGCCCTGAGTGGCACCCGTTGCTGGTGCTGCTCTTGGGGGACTTGTATTCAGCGTTGCCTGGCTAGCCCGCCTACTGCTAGATTCACTAAATTCGTGATATCACGCCCCCATCATATCATACCAACCCCGGAGGATCCTTGTATTCACCATCAATTGGTTCCCGTGGAGGCCCTGTTGCAACCGCAGCCATGTTGTAAGACACACCACCCCGACCGCACCCTGGTTATCCGTTTGGTTTCCCTTATCTCCGCGCTCTGTGCCGCAGCATCATAGGCCCGGCGCCAGAGTCCCTGGAGAATTTCCAGAGACAGACCCGTTTCCCTCAGCCTTTGACGAAATGTGACGGCTTTTTTATATGGCTTCCCTTCTGACTGATATCCCTCAATTCAGCGTCCTTCCCCCTCCCCCACCTCGCTACACCGTCCCTGTCGCCTATGCAGCTGGTGCATCAAACGGCATGGCGGTGCCTGTGGTAGAAACAAACAACATCATCAGCCATCCCGAAGGCGGTTGTTCTTTGCAGGTTGGAGAAGGTGCGTTTGCTCTATCGCACCCACAAAAGACATGTGATCGAGAGTCCACTGACACAAATTCCTGCGATAGGCACCTATCACCTCAAGGATAACCTCCACCTCGCAACGCCGCCGCCCCATCCCTCGGAAGCGCCTGTTGTGAACCCGAACCCGCTCGCGACTGGCGTGACCCCGCCAACCTCGGGCGTGAAACTCTCTTTAGTCCAAGTCAGCCACCAAAGCAAGGCCCCTACATACTCTTTGAACGGAAATGCCACAGCACCATTGTTTGGCGATGGGAACCCCGCGCTGGCCGCGCCGGTGGTCAAAGAAGGCCTCAAGAGGAGGAAACCGAAGAACAACATTGTGAAGAGCAGCTCGTCGTTCGTATCACGGGTAATTACCCATGAAGCCCTGACGAAACGCCTGAACGATCGCAACCCAGACGGCTTTTTCGCATTCGCCAACATCAACCGCGCATTCCAGTGGTTGGATCTCAGTTCGAAGCAGAAAGAAGAGCCGCTGGCGAAAATTCTCTTCACAAAAGCGCACATTCTGAGCCACGATATCAACGAATTGACGAAGAGCTCATCGCACATCGATATCGTTATGGGTTCATCGGCCGGGGACATAATATGGTACGAGCCGATCTCACAGAAATACGCGCGCATCAACAAGAACGGGGTTGTAGCCAATTCTGCCGTAACTCATATCAAGTGGATTCCAGGATCGGAGAATCTCTTCATGGCCGCCCACGCCAACGGCCAGTTGGTAGTTTATGATAAGGAGAAGGAGGATGCACTTTTCACACCCGAACTCAGCAGCCCTTCGGCCGAGATGCTGAAATCTTCGGGCCGGCAGCCATTGCAGGTCCTCAAGTCGGTCAACTCCAGGAATCAGAAGACGAATCCGGTCTCCTTATGGAAAGTCGCCAATCAGAAGATCTCCCAGTTTGCGTTCTCTCCGGACCGCAGACACCTGGCCATTGTCCTGGAGGACGGGTCTTTACGGGTGATGGACTACTTGAGAGAAGAGTATGCAGGCTATCCTTGGTACTGCCACTGTTGATAGACAGACCGCTGACTGCTGCTAGGGTTCTTGACATTTTTCGCAGTTATTATGGCGGTCTAATATGTGTTTGCTGGTCCCCGGACGGCAAATACATCGTGACCGGCGGCCAAGATGATCTGGTTACGATCTGGTCCCTACCAGAACGAAAGATCGTAGCCCGATGCCAAGGCCACAACTCCTGGGTTTCTGCGGTGGCATTCGATCCCTGGCGCTGCGATGAGAGAAACTATCGGTTCGGCAGTGTTGGTGATGATTGCCGGTTGTTACTATGGGACTTCAGCGTGGGCATGCTCCACCGTCCCCGAGTGGTAGGTTTTCATTCCGCACCGCCAGATGAACACCATCAATCAAGCTTGTTCCATAAACTTACACTCCTCCAGCACCAAGCGAACGCGCGCCAGCGGACAAGCATGGTTGTGACCAACACGCAACTTAACAACCGTCATCGCGCCGATAGTGCCGGCAACCGAGTCCGGTCCGACTCGCAACAGACCGCCGATACCTACAGCAGCTATGATCCGACCGTTCGCCATCCGGTCGAGCCCAGGGCGCGGACGGCTCTGTTGCCACCGATTATGGTGAGCTTTCTTTCCCCCTCCCCAACTTTCCAGGCTGGCAGCTAAGAAACATCATTTAGTCCAAGATCGTCGGAGAAGACCCCATCTGCTGGCTTGGGTTCCAAGAAAACTCCATTATGACGTCTTCTCTTGAAGGTAAACCCCCCCCCACCCGCACCCTTCCCCAACACTCTCCGCAAAGAGGTTATCTCCTTCAAGATCGCGCGTTGACCTCCAACCCGCCGCAGGTCATATTCGCACCTGGGACCGTCCCCGCGAAGGCATCAACGAGAACTATTACGACCAGACCTCATCCCCAGCTTTCAGCGCCAGTGCAGCGGCGTCGGGATCCGGTTCTGCACTGGGAGACTCCGTGATGGGGTCTCTTTGAGCGGAGCAGCGTGAGAAAGAGAAACCAAAAGCAGATGGAGGCCATGCTCGCTCCCAATCCTCTCCTTGATCCTTGTAAATATCTGTATGATTTGTTTTCTTTCTTCATGAGATCTATACCCAAATGAAACCGCTAATCTCCAGTCATGTTGGATACCTGTAATTCTTGTTCTTCCCTAATTAAAGGGGCGTGCTATTAAATTGATTGCACCAGGCTAAAAAAGCAGAAAGCGGCAGTTTAGGTCAAGTCTGTTGAAGCTCATTTCCCCCCTTTGCTTTAGGCCATTATCCATGTCGCGGGAAACGTATCTCTGGCCTGGTCGAGATACCCTATATCCTAAAGATAACTTGCAGCAAAAGATTGGTTAAGTGTGGTAGGGAGAAAAGCACTCTAATCCGAGCGAAGAGAGGAGCTTGGAACTATACTACGGGGGTGACCTATCACTGTATCGGCAGGGGGGTGTAGAAGAAATGCCAATGATTAGATAAAGTATCGACTATCAACCTCACCAAAAAAACCCATCAACGGTAAGATTGCAAGCAGAGAGTCACAAACATCTTCATACATTGAAATGAAAGGGGGGGGAAAAGATAACAGGGGGTTGTGCTTTCGTCAGTCAATTAACAGGTGGGATGAATGGATGGGATAAATGGATAATGTATCGTGTTGCGTCACTCGTGTAGGTAGGAGGGGGAGAGGTGATGGCAAAGGATCAAAGGGCATGAAATCAGAGAGGGGAATTCTGGAGGGAAAAAATTCGAATGGGTAGTATGATGAGAGTATGCAGTTGCAGATGAAGGAAGAGTAAACAAAAGTGCTGGTATGTTTTGGGGGAAAGGGGATGTGATGTAACTAATTCGAAGGCAAAAGCTGGCAAGGTAAGCAAAGCAAAGCAATTTGTGTGTACCACTCATAGTGTGATTGGCGATGATATGAGTGCGTATATACAACCCTTACCCTGGATTAGAATCTAAATATAGAGTGGGAGAGGACTGGGTAGGTAGGTAGGTGGGACAGACGCCCGGGCTGAGCGGTGGGAGGTCGTTTACTCGGAGGCGAAACGGTGCGGATAACGATGGTGGTTCGATGCAGTGACACCGGGATTGCATGACGAAAGTCGCGACGTCAATTGTGGATCGTGTCACTGTACCTTGCTTGGACTGGGGTCGTTTACAACGCTCCGGCGAAGATGCTCATCACGAGGGCGCTGAGCACGGCGAGGGGACCGCTCAGGGTCATTGCGCTTGCGGCAGCTCCGGCGGAGGCAGTGGCGGAGGCAGCGGTCTTGGTGGCAGTAGTGGCAGATGCTGTGGCTGTTGTGGAGGTAACAAACAGATTGAACCCAGGTTAGATAACTTCATTCATCTCATATCCTGTCTGTACTCACCCGGTCTCACGGAGGCGGAGGGAATGGTGCTAGATGATGGTGAAGATGGTGAAGAGGTCTTGTGATAGATGCAGGGGCGTGACTTGTATCTAGTGCTGGTGTAGGTGCTGGATGATAGTGGTGCATGTGCATGTGCTGATGATGATAGTGGTGATGATGGTGTAGGTGTAGGTGTAGGTGTAGGTGTAGGTGATGTAGGTGCAGATTGTGATGTGTGTGATGGTGATGATGATAGTGTTGAATTAGAAGTATCCTTACCCGTCTCAACTTTGCCAACCTTGGTCACGTTGAATTGGTTCGATTGGCTCAAGATGCCAGTGTTCTGGGTGGTGTTGGCAATAGCATTCAGTTGGTAGCCATTACTATCGTCGACCTGATCAGTCTTGCTGCAGTTCCACCTCGAGTCAAGGATACAACATACGCAACAGGAATCCCGGTGATCATGTCCACAGTATAGGAGCCATCCGAGACCTTGGCATTCTGGGTGATGACCTTGTTGACTGTAGGCTGGGAGGCCATGTTGACCAGGACCAAAGTGACCTCGTCCGGATCAGAACTGCGCAGCCTGTCAGTTTTATGCATGACGGGTCAATCTGGGGAAGAAAAACGCACGAAACCGTTGTCCATTGGAACTTGTACGACTTGCTGAAGTCAACCTGGTCCCCAGCCTTGGGCGCGGTGATCGTGAGAGCTGGAGAGTCCGGTCAGTTCAGGGCCAGCAGAGATCGGAAATCGGGAACCCTACCCAGAGCCGAAGCAGCAAAGGCGACGATGGCAAGAAGGAGGCTCAAGGAACGCATGGTGAAGGTGGTCAGGAGATATTAGAACTAGAGATGAAGAGGGGAAACTGCACAGCAGACAATTAAAGAATTGAAATTGGGGAGAAGGAAGCTATACACTGGCTTGGAAAGATGGATGGCAGTGTCCTGGTCTGGGACACGACAGCTTTATAACTTCTTCTACACCACACACACCACACCGCAACATCTAACGGTACAATTACCTTTCTATCCTCTCCACCCCTCCCACTATCCTGTCATCATCCTTGTTTCTCCGTTCTCCCACCGGATTGACCGATCGGAAAGAAAAGATCAAGAAAAGAGTACGAAGGAAAGAAGGAAGGACGCGGAAGGGTAAAGGGAAAAGTCAACGCCCTGTCTATTTTGGGGGGATGTGGTTGTTGTTCACTTCCCGTTGTGCGCCCATGCGAGGGGGGGGCTTCCTGCAGGCGACTGGTCCGATTCCCTTCATCAAACCTATTTTCCCATGGAGACGCGTTCAATTGCTGATTCTCGTGACCGTGGGCAGTGCCTACACAAGGGCTTCGAGAGGAGGTTGACAGGAGGTTGATAGGAAATTTTCTACTTGCTTGCTATCAGTCGAGCCAGGGAGTATCCCCTCCCTCCCTCTCCCTCCCCTCTCCTCGTGTGCACAGGGCACGCCTCTCCCCCCTTCGAGGGGAATGACGTTTCATCGCTCGCCAGTGTGATGGTCTCAGAAGCTCTTTCTTTCTTCCAGAGACAGCCGCCGTACGTGTCGCGTTCCAATGATGAAATCCGGATCTGGACTAAGGTTTCCCTCTTCCACTAGCCTCCTCAACCTACAGCAGCTGATGCATACATAGCGGCAACAGATGCATAATCTTAAAAGAACAACACTTTGAGTGCTTCCGATCGGTGCGATACCTCTTTCATTCAAGGCTCTTGTAATAGTGCACCCATTTCCTGCCAAGCCACTGCTCGACCTAGAGAACCCTGTTGAACAATAATTGATTTATCTGAAGGAGGAAGACCTTCATGTCACAAGGACCTTTTGGGCCCCCTCAATTGAATTCAGGACAATTGAGTTACGCAGCACTATAATATTTCGTGAGCGTCAGACACTCTAGGCGGTGACTTTTCACTGCTAAGTGCCCGGTGGACAGTCACCAAACATTACCCATCAGATCATGCACTGCTGACCTGACAAGTCATATTGGACCCGAAAGTTAAGCATGATGCGAGTACGCAAAAAAAAAAACCTTCCAAATAGTCTTCACCTGGGCGGATCATTGACCCCCAATTGCACGGAGCTTGACTTTGGGAACTAGCAACAGACTCTGACCATCGACAAATTTATTGAACAGATTGTTCCCTAGAGTAACGCGGAACTTTAGTGCTGACTGATCCAGAGTACACCCCCCGTCGCAAGCACACGGGAAACCGTTCCGGAGTAAATAGTCCTGAAGGTTGCCAATGCTTGGATCCTGGGACGGTGCCTGGAAGTCAATTCGAGAGTCAGTGATGTCAGGACGGTACCAGGCAGAGTACATAATTGCTCCCAATTTTTGAGATCATGACAAATGTGTCGCACATCGTCATCAGACATTGTTCTCACTCTTGATATGCAATCACAACAAGCACACTGATTGGCGGTATAGTTAGTGGATGCCCGCATCAACGGTTCCGTCACCGAGCGGCATCGGAGCCAACGTATCTTTCAAACATGGCCGATGACTCCCTGTGAAACGGAATTCCTAGCCAGCTACCGACGTCTCAGCGACAGGGAACGAGGTCAGCCTAGCGATCGTCATCTAGTGCGATCTCTGACCCAATGCTTCATCCGCATGTGCTTATCGGATATGCATGTAGATCAAGGACAGAGGATCTTTATCCCCGAGTCACCTCCTTAGACCCGCTCAAACATCCAGTTGTCCCGATAATAACCTGTATTGGCCAGGTATACTTGCTTTGAACGAAGGCTTACGCAAGCTGAAGGACGTAAGTCAATCATTGCAACTCGTGGAGCTGATTTTCCAACATGTGCCGAAGAGAACTCGCAGCCAGATCTTACCTAAACTCCGGCAACTTATTCATCTGAATTACTATTTTTGTACTCGGGGTCTATGTTCATGTTCCAGTGTCATTGTACAATTTATGTATGTCTTGCTTGCTTCTATATACAGCAACTCGGAAACACATAGCTGGACTTCTCACCATGTCCTAACTAGGTGGTCGCCAGCGCATATAGACAACCACTATGATCAAATGCCCCACACGCCCAGCGGATCTGGGCCACCCGAGTTGATCCGCTGTTGCTGCAGGGTCTTTACCCTTCGGACAAGCGTACCTACACAAATGGGACCAAGAAGGGTGCAGATCGAGATCGCCCAAACGACGACCAGATAAGTGTCTGAAGAGCCGCCAGTTGGGCCTTGACCAAAGATCCCCTTCGATTCTGCGAGGGACGCAATGAGATAGCCTATCTCCCCTCGCGCTACCATTGCCAGACCCAATATTGACGATGGATACAGAGATTTGGGTTTGGGGGGAAGAGAGCTAGACGAGCTAGCACGTTCAGGCCATGGATGATTTCTCGCAGTTGAGCTGGCGGAAGCTCGCTGGGAAGAGTTGTTGCCGTTCGACGCCGATGTACCGCTACCAGCGACCTTATCTGTGGATTGATCTGCGGCTACAGTGTTCGAGTCCCTCGAGCGTGCTTTCTCTTTCTTTGTCGTCTTGTCCTTCACCTTTGCTGATTTAGCCTGCGGTGAACGGGCACAGGCCAGTCTAACGTAGGAGAAGAATGCTGTCAATGTCCGAACCAAGCTCGACACCGGCCCGAAGGTAAATCTGACCAGCCAGGTACCTGTCACGACTTTCCCGAAGAACATGAGAATGGCGTAGATGACCCCTCTCCAGACAATATCCTCCCTGAACATTTCCGTGATTGGGACAGCAAATCCGATCGAGGCCTGGCCTACATCAGTCGAGTCATCGTGAGATAGGGAGTGAACATGACTTACAAAGAAGAGCGGAATTAAGATTCTCTTGGCTGGTTCCGCATAGTATCTCTCGTAAACCAGCGAGCCAGTGGGATATTCTGCACAAGACGAGCTCATGTCACCGGATTGTGAGGGATTCCCTTGGCCATCCCGCTCGGAAGTCCCACTTCCCTGGCTGGACGCACGCTCCTGGGAGGCATTCTGAGTCCTCAATTCTTATCCAGTAGTAGATCCCAAACAACTGTGATGTTCGGCTGCTGAGCTTTGCTCGAAGAAGTCACTGATCCACGTCGCTGAGACACCCGCAAGATATGCAGCAAACAAGCTGGATGTCCCTGCGTAGGTAGCACCAGCGACCAGCCCCACCAAGAGACACGTATAAGCCAGGAAAGCAAACTGAACTGTCTTCGCAGCATTGGGAAATTTGTCGCGGTGCATGAAGAGAACCCGCAGGGTAGGCGTCACACCGAACCGGCAGACAAGCACGACGCCCACACCAAAGGCGAGCGACACGAAGATCGGTCGGATGACAGTCACCGCACTGAACGAATCGCCGCCACCGCCACCAAGGTTCGTGATGATCTGAACCATCACCAGTCCTACAACATCGTCGAGCATCGCCGCACTCGTAGTTACAACACCCAGCCGTGTCTTGACAAGGTCCGTGGTGGAAAGAATGGTAAACGTGGTCCCCAGACTGGTCGCACTGAGGGCCGCTCCAGCAGCAAAGGCTTGCAAGGGAGTCGCTGAGACCAGTTCCATGAGGATGAAGGAGAGAGCCATGGGGGTAGCGATCCCGGTCAATGCCACGGCGACCGAAAGGAAGAGGTTCGCTCGCAGCGAAGAGAGTGAAGTCGAGAGACCGCCTTCATAGACCAACAGAATTAAGCCCAGGTACCCGAGCTGCTGAATCACGGTCTCCGCGTCGTCGCTGAGCCATTTCGCCCCGGGAGTACCCCAGAGAATGCCGATGAAGAGCTGGCCGATAAGCCCGCAGTAGAGCAGTTTGTCCAGGCAGACGTTGACCAGATTGAGGACTAGCAGGAAGCCGGATTGATTGAGAATGGTGTGGATGGAGGGCTCCTCGTAGGCAAATGCGGTTTCAGGGGAGCTCATGATGATAATGGCACGATACTGGATGGTCGATCTTTATGATAATAAGAAAGATGGCTGGGAGGCCTATATGTCAGGCAAATGATTGTTTGCGGTGATTGGAAGTTGAGCTTTTGAGGTTAGAGGACACCATCGATGAGCTTTTACTGTCCTTTGGTACAGTTTGAGTAGCTTAAGAGCTCTTGTTCTGAGGTATTTGCACGAGTGGTGATAACTATGATGGCAGTTGATCGACGAAAGGTGGTGGGTGATTTCTGCCAAGAGTCCGGGGCTTGGCCATCCCACCCCACACTTCAAGGTTCCGATTTCCGCCTTCCGCCTTGAATCCACCTTCCGCTTACCGCTTTCTCTAATTTATTCCAGGTGCAGTTCAATACTCCTACCCCCAGATGGCTACCTAGTACTCTCACTGTGTCGTGGTCCATGCTTATGATTGGGAGAGAACACCGCGCGGTCACTTCAAGTGACTAACTCCTCGACTCAGCAGGTCGCTGATGCTCACCTTCAACACCGAGACAATTACCCTCGAATCCCGCCAGCCCAACACATCTTGAGCGGCACTGGGCGCCGTCCAACTGCTGCACATTGCTGGCTTGACCCAACAAAGACAAAGCAATACTCCAAGTGTCAGTGCTTGCGTTTAGCCTCTTTCATTCGTCGCTCTTGTCGTGCCTGTCAATGGCAGCGGTTAGGTGTACTGTATCACATGAGCCCGATCCGTGATCGGATGATCATTGACTACTTCAAGGTACCAAGTCAATGAAGGTTGGTCTATCAATTGGCCTATAGACTGAACTGTGAAACACAATTCTGAATAGAACAAAGAACCCAAGCTCTGTGGTCCTGAAAGTCTACGTACTCCAGGAATCAAGGGATGCCATAAACATACAAAATATGTGTGAAATACTACATTCCAATGGCTACAATACGGGCCTAAGGAATCAAAAAGAACATGATCTGCACCAGGAATCCATTGGCCTATACTAGGCCCAGATTGGCAATAGGTTTGGGAAATACTTGACGGCTCGAGGCCGACCAACGCAGGGCAGCTTCATGTGCGATCAAGCTGATTGTTTACCCTGGGTGTCTGTCCTCTTCTGGCCGTGGTTGCCCTAGGCCAAGAGGTATGTGTTCCGCTTGCCTCATTCGATCGTTGAGCATTGTATCAGGAAAGGCTGATTCTATGACGTGCTAGCCTAACCTGAGCAACTACCACTATTCACTGCACTGATAGCCTTCTATTGATCGGTGCCCTTTCATAGTGGGGCTACCATATGGCGTCGAAGCTCAAATGTTTGGCTACCAAGGGACCCGCATTCAAGGGGTTTATGGGTTGGACAACATCGGACAAGAGGCCATAAACAGAACCGAAGTACCAAGCTACTGTCTTGTTTGGTTTATTTAAGATCCAGTCTCCCCTTGGATTTGCTCGAGCTCGATCCCTCGTGCTCTGTCAGAACGACGTGTCCCCCTTCAGCTATACTTCCGACCCTTGTCTTTCATTTGTGTGGGGACTGGGGTAGTTCTCGTTCAGACAGGAGTTGATCTTCTCGGTACAGCGCTTGGTATTCGGAACAAGTCTTCGCCATGAAGGTCCAGACAGCGAATCTCATCCTGGGGTTTTGCGGCTCCATCATGGCCCTGCCCCTTCATGATGCATTTGAGAAGCGAGCCTCCCCGACACCGTCCTCAAGTCATGCTGTCCAGTGGTCCAGCTCTGCCGCAGTCTCGGCGGCCTCTGTGCCTGTACCACCCAGCAGCTCTTTGTTGAGAGTGCCTATTTCCGCGCCTAGCTCTGCGGCAAAGGAACTCGGTCCCGCCAACTATCATGCTCCAGCGATGATCAACGGAGCTGCTGTCAACGGTTTTCCACCCACCACTACCGCAGCAACCGCCGCGGGCGCTTCCAGCACCTCTGCAAGCCCTACGACCACGAAACCGGCGAGTTCTCCGACTACCACGGCTGCCGGAGACCATCCTAGTGTTGGAGGTCAAAGCTCTGGCGGTTACAGCAGTCTATCTAGTCAAAGCCAGCCTAGCCCCTACGGACAAACGGCCCCTGGAGGTCAGAACACTGGCCTCCCGAGCGCCCCGTCTCAAAGCCAGCCGACTCACCCAGCCTCGGCTACGAGCACTGCCGCATACAGCGGTGCGAGTTCGGCGACTCAGCCTACGCCTTACGGTCAATCCTCAGGATATGGTGCTTCTACATCCTCCGACCAGGCGTTTCCCTTCGGACAATTGAACCCCTTCGGACAATCCACGGCCAATGACCAATCGGCTCAATACGGGCAACCTGTCCCGCAAAGTTCCAGCAGCGGATCTGTGCCAGCCACTGGGAATTTCCCGGGTGCTCAAGTGGCCCCTCAAGGATCGACTGCGAACAGCGGTGTATCTACTGGAGCGCGTCCTCAGGGACAAACGTCATCGCAGGGTTCAACCCCTAACACTGGAGCATCTAGTGGCGTCCGGCCCCAGGGACAAACAGCGCAACAGGGCTCAACTTCCAATACCGGCGCCTCTGCCGCAGGGCGTCCTCAGAGTTCCACTTCGAACAAGGGAGCATCTAGCGGTGCACGTCCCCAAGACAATTCGGCTCCAGTGGTTCCATCCACAAACACTGGAACCAACAGCGCGTATCCTCGGGGACAACCTGGCTCGGACGGATCAAGCGCGACGGCAGGAAAACCTAGTGAAGGACGGCCTCAAAGCCAGTCTACGAGCACCGGAGCATCTAAGGGCTCTGCGAACACTGGTGCATCCAATGGCGCGCGTCCCCAGGACCAATTCACTCGCCCTGGTTCGACTACAAGCAACGGCACGCCTAGCGGAACACGGCCCAAGGTTCAGTCCCCTAACACCGGAAGCGCATCCGTTCCTCAAGGTCAATCTGTGGATCCTGAGTTGATCGGCTCCCAACTCGCCGACCAGTATGGTCTGGATGCTGCTGGAGAATTGCTTCCCCCGGGCTACAACCCTGTCGGAACAGCATCTGATGACGATGATGAGTCGACTCCTTCGAGCTACACGGGAGGTTTTCCCTCCCAGACCCAGGCCGCTGCTCCGGCTAGTGCCAGTGAATCCAACCCCAAAGGTTCCGTAGCTTCAAGCTATGTTGGCACTGTGCCAAAGGGTCAATCTGCGGCTGCTGGATACCTTGGAACCACTGCTCAAAGCCAGCCCTTCGGTTACGGCAGCTCTACTCCGCAAGGCCAGTCTTCCGGCTCTAGCTCTGGAGCCTCTACTCCTCAGGGTCAATCATCGGCTTACGGTAGCTCCGCTCCCCAAGGCCAGTCTTCGGGATCCGCCAGCTCGATCCCTCAGGGACAGGCCTCTGGATACGGTAGCTCCGCTCCCCAAGGCCAGTCTTCGGGTTCCACCAGCTCGATCCCTCAGGGTCAGTCATCTGGATACGGGAGCTCCACCCCTCAGGGTCAGTCAGCTGGATACGGAAGCTCTTCTCCTCAAGGCCAGAGCTCCGCCTCTCAAGGCTATTCCAGCGGCGTCGGCCCAGGGGGCGATCCTGTCTACAACGGGCCTATGGCAGGCCCGGACAGCCAGGGCCAGACTACCGGCGGTACTGGAAAATCTTCCGCAGGTCAATCGAAGGGCGCCGCATCACCATCCGGTCACACCACGAGCTCCGGCCAAACTCCTCAAGGCGGTTCGTCTGCTGGATCTGGGAAATCTCAGCCTGGGCAGGCACAACCCCAAGGACAGGGGCAGGCGCAGGGACAAGGGCAGACCCAAGGAAAGAGCCAGACCCAGGCACAAAAGCCAAGTCAAGGTTCCGCCGCGGGCCAAGGTCAAGGACAGAGCCAAACTCAAGGAAAGGGACAGACCCAGGCACAGGGACAGACTCACGGATCCGCTCAGTCCGAGGGCCAAGGACAGAACCCGACTCAAGGATATGCTCAGGGCCAAGGTCAAGCACAGGCCCAGGGACAGGGACAAAAGCCAGGTCAAGCCTCCGCCCAAAGCCAAAGCCAAGGACAGAGCCAACCCCAAGGAAAGAGTCAGGCCCAGGGACAGCCACAGACCCAGGGTCAGGGGCAGAAGCCCAGTCAAGGTTCTGCTCAGAGCCAAGGCCAAGGAAAGACTCAGACCCAAGGACAACAGACCCAAGGACAGGGACAGACTCACGGGTCCGCTCAGCAAGGACAGAACCCGACTCAAGGTTACGCTCAGGGCCAAGGGCAGACCCAGAGCCAAGGGCAGGCCCAAGGAAAGAGTCAAACCCAAGGACAAGGACAGAAGCCCAGTCAGGGTTCCGCCCAGGGTCAAGGTCTAGGCCAGAGCCAGACTCAAGGACACTCTCAGGCCCAAGGGCAAGGGCAAGGGCAAGGGCAAGGGCAAGGACACTGAGGCAACGGCCGAGCCTTCGGGAAGAATGTGGGGATCCTAGTTGATACTTGTAAGCTCTCTTGTACTTTCTTGGCAGCTTCGCGCTGTACTAACATTCTATGTCTAATTAGCTCATAATATGTAATGGAATTAATAAGCCCCTAATTGGTTGAATTGAACTGTCATTGTTATCTCGAAAGCGCCAGAATCTTGTAAACACTCCATGTAAACAAGACTTAGGTCCACAGAGCTCATCAACCAGGAATCTTATGACGCAAGGGAGTAAGAACGACGACTCTGGGACAGATTCCTCCAGCGTATAGGGTAGTAACTAACGACGTATGCACGACTTGCCTTCCTCGGCAGTGTGCAGTGGGATGAAACAACCGTGCGGGCTTGCTTGAGATAACAAGCACACAGACTCCCAAGGTCCCCGGAGAGTTTATGTTCTGTTCGCCTCGCCTTCGGGGGTGACCACACAGGTCATCGGTACAGACATAGAACTTATCTTGAGAACTGTGAGCCTGTCTGTCAGTTAGTAATCGGACATCGCAGCCTTGCAACCCATACTATACGTAATACACATCTGGCCACGTTCTTATTTTGGTAGGTACGGTACAAGACTTTATTGTACGGGTCCTGCTCCGATTAGCTTGTAT